TGGGGCTTGTGCGGGGGTATGGATGGATCCAACTTCTTCTCTTGCAGTTACGTATGAAACCCACACATGGGCAAAAAGGGCAAAGCAGGCAGGCAGCTGAACGGTTGGCACAATGCAAATGTTGCAGCAGCAGTGGCAGTGGCAGCAGCAGCAGCAGCAGCAGCAACGGCGCAGTTTTTGCGCAAGCTAAGCGATCTCTGCAGCAGAACTACACCGCAACGACACCTGCCACTGCCACTGCCCCCTCAGCACCTCCAGCTGCTCAATGGAGCTCAAAAGAAAGCAAAAGTGGGTGCAACCAAAGCACTTTTACTTTTCGCTCTAGCAGCAACAGCAGCAGCAACTGAGCGGAGTATCTCACAGATACATTTCCAATTTTCACAGTGGCAGATCGTTTTTCGAGACAAGTTTTCCCTTCCTCTGCTGCTGTTGCTGCTGCTGCTTCTAGCACTAAACGGGTTGCTGCTCCACGCTCCACGCTCCATTCGCTTGGGAGAGTGTCACTGATTGAGTGGCTCTCAGTCTCTCCCTCTCTCGCTCTCTCTCTCCCCGTCGCTGTCACTAGTGGGCGTTGCCGCCTTCAAGGCACAGATCGTTATATAATGCGCCCACTCGGCGACTTTCAATCGAAAGATCTTTCCCTCTCACTCTCTCGGGGGAGATTTCTCCCACGCTCCCATCCGATATATTCGTTTTTTTTTGTTGTTGTTTTTGTTGTTTGGCACTTTTTCTTTCCGGCATTCATAATTATTACTTTTCACAAATTAGCCGCACAACAAATGGCACTTTCCCCCATCTCCATTCGCCATTCTCCATCTACAACTGTGCCCCCGCTACCCCTTCTCTTTCCCATCTACCTCTATGCCCACTCTTCTCTTCCACCTCCCAGAGAGAGAGAGAGAGAGAGTGACTTATCGGAAATTAGTTTTTTCATTTTTATTTTTGTGGGTCAAGTCTTCTGCCGCTCCGCTTCTCCGCTCTTCTCTTCTCTGCTCCTCATGCGAATCTGCCATCTGCCATCAGGCATCCCATGACGAGTGCTAATTGCAGATGAGGATGGAGCTGGGAGTCTCCGCTCAAGGGTTCAAGGTCTGTGGCTCTGTGGAGTTGATTGATTAACACTTCCACGCTAACTGCCAGCCCAGGGACTCCGCTCCTCGCTCCTTCTTTTTCCCCCCATCCCCCATCCATTAGCCGTGTATAGTGGGGGGTTTATTTGTGTGTCTGGAGTGTCCAGATAATCGAATTCATATAAATCAATTTGCATATTGTAAAACAAAGCGTAAGCCGTGCGGGGAATGCCCCCGGAGAGCAGGTTTTGAGGCACTAGAAACGGGTTTTTCACTCGAGACGAGAACTTTGCACGCGCTGTGGGCTGGTGGGCTGGTGGGATGGTGGGGTGGTGTGCTGGTGGGCTGGTGGGCTGGTGGGTTGGTAGGGGGGAGTGGCCAAAGCGCAATAGAAATCTCGAGTTCATTTGCCAAATTAAAGAAAATACAACAATAAATAAATACGAAGCGGAGCCCTCGTATCTGTATGCAAATTGCAGCAAGCGATGCAAGAGTCAGTCTCTGTCGCCCGCCCCCCTTCGAATGATGATGAAATATGGCACTCACTTTGCTTCGAGCACAAGCAGAAGTACAAGTAGGTATCTGTGGCACACTGTGGCAGCTCGGAGGCAGTGTAAACAAATGGAGGCAAGAGGCAACTGCAACAAATAACTCGTACGACCCCGGGCCATGCGAAAGGTAAACAAAAGGCAAAACACATTGGGAATGCATAAGGTGCAAACATTCGTATTGCATGTGGTGGCTCTCGTTTGTGGCAAGACAACATCTGTGTGGCATAAGAAACCAAATACAGAATTTTGAATGCAGCCAAATGGCTTTCAAGCGGCGAAAACTAGTTCAGAGGCTGCCTTCAGGGCGACGCACAGAGAGAGAGAGAGAGGGAGAGAGAGATCTGCTCTGCATGAACCCAAAACGAGGTTGACTTCCTGCACACACATACACACACACACACACACACATTTAACCCTCCCCTGGCCCAACCAGAGACGAACCCCAAGATGTAACTGCGCTGGGCAAATGCTGGTCTTAATTCAATTACGTCCAATCAGTGCCCCCGCCCAAGTGTCTGCCTGCCTGGCGATTGTTTGCTTGTTATTTGTTGCTGTTGCTGTTGTTGCTGTTGTTGCAAGTGGCAAGTGTCGTTTCTAGAATGGAATTAATATTACAATGGGAAAAGCTTTGACTGCAGGCAAAAGTTCCCTCCGCCGCACCTGCCTGGGATTTGCAGATAAGGAATGCAACTTCCTGGAGATGCCACAAAAGTTGAGGCAAGTGCAGGCCAGTGGACACTCGACACCTGTGACTAAAACTAAATTAAAGATTTAATTAAATTAAGTCCAAGGGAGAGAACAGAAACGGAATGAAAAAGGAGAGAGCAGCAAGTGGGAGGGACACCACTGTAGCTCTAATGGAACGGAATGGAATGGAATCGAACGGAAGAAACGCTGCTTTAGCTGTGGGAGGGGTAAGGTAGCGTAGCTGGTGCTCTCTCCCCTCTCATCTTTTACTGTTTACTTCTGTGGATTACTAAGAAAAAGATTTCAAACGAAAAGAAAGAAAAGAAAATAAAAAGCACCAAAAAGTAAGCACAGCGCACAGAATCGAACCACAAGATAAGCGATGAAGCGATGAAAGACGAGAGGCAGCAACCAGAAAACACAAAGCAAAAGCAAAAGCCAAGAACGGAGAGCAGCGAATGCGAAACCAAAGACAAAAGCAAAGCAAATGGCAGAGAGACGAACAGACAGACAGACCGACGGAAAAAAAAGCTCATAGGTCAGGTCTCAGGTGATGCCGCAGGGGGCAAGCACTGTTGTTGGAAGCTCTCTTTGCCCTGCCACTCGATTCTTTGTGAAGAAGAGAGGCGAGGCGAGGCATGCATCAAGTATTTATGTTAGTAGTATGTGCGCCCCTACCCCACCGGTGGACGGACTGCAGCTTTACCCTAATGACAAGATATCGTGGCGGGGTGGGCTGTGGAGGGGAGGGGAGGGAGTCGTCAGGTCAGCGAGTCATCAAGGTGTGTGCAATTAGGGGCAAGAGGCAGCAGAAGAAAGAGTGTGAAAGTGGAGCGAGCGCATCCCAACCAGATACCAGATGCCATTTGCCCATTAAAGTGTGATTGAGCACGGATCAAGATCATCTTTCAGCGTATTAGAGAACGATTTGATTTGTGTGGAAGCTGTGGATAAGATCCAAACACTGGTACGTGTGCATGGGGACTTACCCTCGGGCAATCGGTATTCTAAGAAGCTTTCCATTATCTCCACACTATACTCTACTCTCTGCTATGCACTGCAGCGACATGTTACCCAATGATTCTCCTCCGATTCTCCGATTCGCCACACACAAAGCCAGGCCCAGGCACGTCTCTCGAAACTCAAACAGACAAACAGCCAAACAGTCGTCGTGTCGTTCCACACACAAATTCTGGCCACGAAACGTGACTCACTCACAGCCAGCGATCTCTTCGTGCAAGCGACAAGCGAATAGGGCACCGGCATGGGACAGCAGGAGACCATCCATCCATCCATCGACCGACCGGTTTCCTCGATTCTCTGTGGTCTGTGGCAACATTCCAGCGTACTCCTCCGCCTGCGCCTCTGCCGCCGCTACCTGAAAATCATTTTCGTTTCGTCATCGACTGACTCTCTGCCTCATTTGGCATTCAAAACGTTTATTTATTAGCTTAGCCCCTCAAGACCCAAGACCCAAGACCCAGCCCATTATCCAGCGATTTATGCTGGAAAAACCCCCGCCGCCGCCGCCGCCGCCACATACTGCATAATGCATTCTCCTCCACTCGCATTTGTTGCAGTTGCAGCCATTGTTGCTGTTGCCGTTGCTGCCTTTCGGCTCTTGCCTGCTAATGCTAAGTAACCTCTAATTAAATTGTTGTCTGTGGCAGTAGCAGCAGCGACTCCGGCCCGAGCCCGGCCTTGGCTTGCAGCTTTCGATGCTGCCTTTGCTGGGGGTTTTCCACTGCAACTCCCCGAGAGTCTTTGTTGCATGAATGACAGCACGTTAACAACACATTGCAAGATCGAAAATATGGCGTCATCACAGAGAGATTCTAGCTAGAGATCCTTCGCGCCAAGGAGCTCCAAATCATATTTGTTTTTGTCTATTTTTGGAAACACCAATGCCATGGCATTGAAGTGCGCCATAAAGAGAACTAATTTAGTTTTTTAACGCTCAAAATGCTGTTGCAGCGAACGTGCCACATGGGTTTCAAATATAAATAAAATGTGTGCAGGCAGCAGGCAGTCAGTCAGGCAATATGTTCGGTTCCACGTTTCGCAATGGACAAAATTATGGCATATTTAATAATAATTGCTCCAGCTCTAGCAGTCTTTCCACACATGTGCGAAAACTTAGTACGGATATTATATTTATTTCTGGCGCGCATAAAAATGGAATCCGAATTATAACAAAGCGCAGAAAGGAAAAGCAACAGCAGCAGCAACAACAAAAGAAGTAATTAAAAAAAAAATATCCAAGAGAGAACGGTATTGGTATTACCCAGCAGAGGGGCTGTGCATATGTGTATTGAATGCTAAAAATGACTGTTTCTTGCCAACAAAAGGTTTGATAGGGCGCGGGACATGCAACAGGAGCACGGGGTACAGAACCCTCCCCTGCCTGCTCTGACTTAGCAAGCTTTAATTGTAAATGTACACTTAAACAATATACCCTTTGTATGGGTACTGGGTATTAAAACAGCACAGATGTTGAAAGTCGTTTTGCGGGTTTGACCACTGGCCCCCGTGCTGCGCTCTCTCGCGCTGCTGATCTCTCACCCAAAAGCCGAGCTCTGCTTGCTGCCGAGAGAGGGCTTAAGCTGCCAGATTGTCAACCGCAAGCCCAGAGAGTAGGATAGAAAGAGAGGGCAGTAGTAGGAGTAGGAGAGGCTCTGATAGACTCACTCACCAAAATGTTTTTTACAGACTTCTGGAGAGTAGTGCTCCCCCCTGCCCACTCCGTTTAGCAGCAGCCGCAGGTAGCTCCAATTGTAAATGAACTATTTCAGCACTTTTGTTAACGGTTTAATGGCTTATTGTTGTTGAAACACACTTTATTTTTTTTGGCTTTATTTACTTCGAACTTTGGAGCGACTTCCGCGTTGCCAACAACAATAGAATGGGATGGAGTGTTCTTGTTGTTGTTTTATTTAGTTTGCAATTCTCCGATTTACTCTCTCAGCAGGTATTAAACACTTGTGACTCGCGCGATTTCTAATGCTAATGGCTGGAAATTGCCATCCAATTGCAACTAATGGCAATTTTAATTAACATATTTCACTGGAATAACATACACTTTCAGCAGGCGACTCTTTTTCCTATTTCTTTCCTCCTGCGCCCCCGCCAAACACACACGCGCGCTTTTTCCGGTCGTCTGTTGCTTTTTGCTTTTGTTTTGCGGGCTTTTTATTCTCACTTTACGGGACTTGGACTGCACTTCACTCGATTTCCGTATAATAGAACACACTTCGCATTAATTTTAATTTTTTGTTTGTGCCTCGTCTCTGCTAAACACTTGTATATTTATTCAACAACAAAACACACACCAAATATCCATGTACGAAGCCCCGACAGCAGCAGCAGAGAGCACACACGTCCGTCTCGTTCGATGGCCAAACACGCTTTGGTGCTGCGGTGCCTCTGCCGCTGCCACGGAGCAAAGAGAGAGCCCCAACACGCACACAGCCAGCAGAGAGAATGGCGCTGCTCTGAGTAGGCGGCGCTGACGCCGACAGCAGCAGCATTGCTGCGCATGTCTGCAAGCAGAATGCAGGTCCCTTATCGCTGCTCTCCTGTGACGAGTCCTTTAGGAATGTGTTGCCAGGCAATAACCTGACCTGTGTGTGTGTGCTACCTGTGCGCCCACAACAAATCTCAGACTTGTGGCCGGGGGCAGGCAGAACAGGTTCCACACATCTCCAGTTTCCTTCTACGCCTCTCCCCCGCTGCTGCTGCTGCTGCTGAGGTTTGTGTTTGTTTGCCAAACAAAACGCATGACTGCAGCTGAGAGAGACGAGACGAGACGCCTCCTCCAACAGGCCGGAAATCGCCAGACAGACATAAGCACGGAACGGAATGTTTGCTTTACGGAAACATTTGAAGGGCGTTCCTCGCCCGATAAGCATGGATTGGGATGGACGCCCCTCGAATTACTCGAAACTAAATGATATCCCACCCATTTTTGCCAGCTGGCGACTGGCACCCATCCAATCCCGTCCCACTTCGTTTCGTTTCGTTTTGTTTTGTTTTAAATAAATTCAATTAGCAATGCAACATTTAATTTCAGCACAAGAGTGAAAGTAAATCGAAAGCCAAGCCAAGCCAAGGCAGATCCTCTCCTGCCCTGCACGCAAATCATCGATGATTGGCTTATTGGAGAATCTCGTGCTGCCAGTCGACGGCATTCAGCTGCGGCTTGAAGCGCTTCAGGGGACCTGCAAAAGGGGTGGGGCAAATTAATCGGAGCTAGAGCAGAATTTCCCTGGATTCACCCACTTATCAAGGCATAGCGCTGCTCCTTTTGCAGGGCCATGTAGTCCACATTTGGGCCCGTCAGATGCTGCGCCAGTGTTCCGCTGCTGCCCACCAGTTCGGGTATCCAGATCTCGTCCAGGGCCGACTCCACTGTCTGCAGCAACGTCTTGAATTCACGCTGCAATGCCTGCGCCAGCGTGTCCTCGCCCCCGCCCAGCTGCAGCAGCGCTTTGCATGTGTCACGCACAACCTGCTGCTGCTGGCCGATCTTCGTGACGTGCTGGTGCAGCGCATCGATGAGCGCAATGTCTTCGAAGGGGTTGCCCGGCTTCAGGCTGAGCAACTTGCGTTCGTGCTTGCGTCGATTTTTGCTCGAGCGGAATGTCTTGCTACACCCGCGAGGAGGGAGGAGGAAGAGGAGCAAAAAGTGAAACCATGTTCGGTACTGTGGCTTTGGCCTGGCGCCTTACCCTGTGCCGCGGGATGTGCCGCTGAAGCGGGAGGAGTGCATACTGGTCGTGTCCGACAGCAGATCCACCTCGTCAATGTCCACATCGCCATCGTCAGCCTCCGCGTCAGCGCCATTCGCACGTCGCTGTCGTATGTCCAGGAGCCGTTGCTTGTAGTCCAGAAAGAGCTGCAGGTCCGACTTCAGGGAGCTGTGCATCTGTTCCGCATGGGCCACCAAAGCGGGGGCAATCTTCGCATCTGCACAGGAAACACAGGGAATTCAGGGCCGTTTCAAGCAGAAAAAGATTCCCTTTGCTTACCCAAAATGTCTCCCCCCTGGAGACCCGCCTCGTAGATGGCCTTGCCATAGAGATGTCCTTCGAGCAGCACCTCCAGTTGCTTCTCCTTATCCTGGACATGCTCCTTAACCAACTCTGATGCCTCCAGATGTCTGCCCTGCTGCTGCAGCGGCCCCACCAGCGACAGAGCCACCTGCTCCAAGGGCTGTTCGCCGAGCGCCTTGGCCAGCACCAGCACCCGCTCCCAGTCGAGGGTGTGTCGCGCGCTGAGCAGCGCCTGCTGCAGCTCCCCGCCACGCTCGTACATGAGACTGGCATTCTCCAGCTTGGCATTCGCCCTCAGCTGATCCGCATAGGCCACGCACAGCCGACGATGGAACTCCGGATGAGCCTTGTACGAGGCCAAGGCCACCGTGTAGAGGCCGTGCTTCCGTATAAACTCCATAGCCTCCTCGTGGTGCTCCTCGCCGCAGCGAGCGAGATGCTGCACCGCTGATGAGTAGCGCTTCAGATGATCGTCGATCCGGAACTTGCGATAGTCCTCGGGCAGGGCCCTCAGCTCGTTCAGATACTGCAGGAACTCCTTGGGATCTTTTTGGGATTTCTGCGCCACAAACAGGGCCATGCCGAGGTCATAGCTGCCCAGGGCCACGTTGTACAGCTCGTTGATGTCCACGAGGTACATCAGGTACTTCAAGAACTGATCCTCTTGCGCGGGACTCTCCAGATCCTTTCGTATGAGCTTCAGGGCCGCATTCACATCTCCCAGCCGCACACACACCGTCACCAAGGGCAGGCGGAAGCGACTGCGGTCCTTGGCGCTTGAGGTCTCCGTCATGCGGTCACTCAGCAAGCCGCAGATGTAGGCCACCTTCTGCTCAAACTTGAAGCCAGGCGGCAGGCACTGTGCTGCCTCATTGGCCCGTCGCGGGTACATGGCGGTGGTGTCTTCGTTCTGCAGCTCGTTGATGAAAAGGCACAGCCACTGGCTCTCCTGGATGTCGCGCAGAAAGTCATCCACATGGGCCACAAACTTCTCCACGTTCGTGTCGCAGATGATGTTCAGATTGATGCGATGCTTCCGCAACAGCTTCATGGCCGCCAGGTAGCTGCCGCGCCTGTCGTTCAGCAGGACTCTGACCTGATCCAGGACGAGTAGTCGCGGATGAATGGCCTCCAGGTTGCCACGCGGCAGCTGCAACACCAAGCGCGCCTCCTCGTCTATGGCTGTGACCAGCTTCGCTCCCCTTTCGATATTGCGCGTGGCCAAATGCTGCCGGTTGGCGGTGTCCACAAAGTGCAGAGTGTTCAGTTGGGTGTAGGCCAGATAGGTGCCAAAGAAGAGAAACGAAGTGACATCCTCGGCAATCCGATGGGGCGCCGCCCCGCCCAGTTGCAGCAGCTGCTGACGGCGCAGTGTGATGAGTCCCCCTAAAAGTATACAAAATGGGTCAATAGGAACTCGAATTCAAGGGTTGGCTCCTGTGATATACGCACCTTCGAGGGACGTCTCAAACTGTTTGGCCTGTGCCTGAGCCACGGAGAAAGTTTTGTCCGCTTTGAGGCTGACATCGTAGGTCTTTCCGCTGTCCAGTGTGTGGGCATAGATATGCCTGCAATTGTGGGTGGCCCTTGACAGGGCATTCACCAGGCCATTCATCCTCAGGGAGTTCAGCATGGAGTAGCAGAGTTCGACCTTCTGAAAGCACAGGAGGCGTGTGTTTCCCTGGACGCTAGTCGTGGCCAGCAGCTGGCCATCGCTGGCGTAGTACGTTAAGTTTGCCAGCTGGAACAGCTGCTCATCGGCTGGCAGCAAATCAAAGGAACCCCTGGGCTCTGGCTGCTGCTGCAGGCGCTGCTTGAGCTCGTAGCAGTGGAACCTTCGATCGCAAGTGAACACACACAGCTGCTGATCGTCCCAGGCCAAGGCATTGATGTAGTTGTCCAGCTGGAGCACGCGCTGGGACATGGGCGGCGGCACCACGGCACGGGCACAGTCTGTGAGGAGCAGCCGCTTGCCATCGATCACGGCGACAATGCCGTGGGGGGCATAGGGCTCCACATCGAAGGCCCAGCAGTAGACGAGCTGTTTGCCGCTCTCGAGGAGCACATGGAGCGTCTGCTCCGCACCCATGCGGGTGTCCCAGTGCAGCACAGCCACCGGATCGGTGTCTGCGTAGACCAGGACCTGCTTGAGGTACCAGTGATAGTTTCCTATCGTGTACAGGTAGACCCGCTGCTGCTGGTCCTGCTCCCTCGCCGTTCGGATGGCCAGAATGTCCGAGTCCTCGCTCCACTTGAGCTGCAGTATGGGCTCCTCCTGCAGGTCGAAGGGCAGCACGAGCTCCCGATGCCGCAGGCCGTTCTTCTCGAACAGCGAAATGGTCGACTTGTTGGGAAAGCACTGGGGCACGGCAATCCAGTTGCCCGATGGCCGCCATGCGATAATTTCCCTCAGATTGCTGCTCTTTTCGGCCGTGTGCTGCAGCTTACCCTCGCTGTCGTACACCTTGAAGGTGCGTCCGCCCGACACATAGGACACCACAAAGCAGGCGCCATCCCCTCGCCAGGCAATGTTCACCTCCTGATTGAGCAGCTGCTGCGAGTCCTGAGCGTTCGGCTGATCCGTCGACTGCTTGGCAGCCTGCTTGCCAGCGGAGCCTTGGAACTGCGTCTCCTTCTTGCCCCATCCCACGTTGATGAACTGCTGGTCGGCGGGCAGTTCCGCCTCCAGTGGCTGCTCAGCGATCACATCGAAGGTGGAGTTCATCACCACCACATTGTGGGAGCTGGTGATGAAGGCCACCACCTCCTGGTTGGGCGACCATGCCATCCGTTCGATGCCCACGTCGCAGTAGGTGCCTTCGCTGGTGGCCAGCGTATCCGGATCGATGAGCAGCACCTCACCGGCTCGCGTGGCCACACAGATGACATTATTCAGTTGCAGGAACTCTGCCGCCACGATGTCGGGCAGATCCGCGATGACTTTTGGTGGAGCATCGCCGGTCGCCGTCACGGCGTACACATGGCTGTCGGTGGCTATGTAGCTGGTCTCCAGACTGATCTCCGGGTCCTGCAGCATCTGCCGGGGCTTGGGCACCTTTGTCTCCCGCTCATTGCAGTATAGCAGCTTCAAATTGCGCATATTTCCAAAATATTGCACGTGCGGCAGTGTGACCGCGGATTTATCGATGGAAATCTACCGCCTGACCCTCGGAAAATATACGTTCTCATTTTCAAAACATACCGTATGTATACTTACGGTATATACCGGAAGGTATTTGGGATATTTCATCCATTTTTTGTTGGTATATTACGGTGTATTTGTGAGGGTCCCACTAGCGCAAGATGGCTGCTCTCGTGTGAATTTTTTGTTTTAAAAATCAAATTATTGTGCTCAAAATATTGTTTGTCCCAAAAGAAATGGCCGTGCGTGGGCTCCACTCAGATTAGATGCAAGTGCTCGGAATGCATCAGCAGACGGACAGCGAACCCAGCGAACAGTCGTGAAAAAAGCAATAGAAAATTCCATAAAACCAGCAGCCAGTTGCTGTTGCTGGCCTGGTCGTCGTCGTCGTCGTCTAGTGTATATGTATGTGGAAGTGGAAGTGGAAAAAGGCAGGAGGAAACACACCAACATCGGAAAGATCGGGAAGGTGGGAAGGTGCGTGTTATCCCTGCATCAGTGTGCGTGTCTGTGTGTGTGTTGTGCAAATGCTTATAAATATGCATAATATTGTTAAATATACATAGCGCAGGGCCATCTAGTGAAATAATGTGCATGTGTCCGATTGCTTGATGCGCCAGCAGCAGCAACATCATCAGCATCGTCGCAGACGTCAGCAGTGGCAGTGGCAGCAGCAGCAGCAGCGTTGGAGGCATTCTGGAATGTAGCAGCGCCCCCCTCCCCCATCCACACTGAGAATTGGGTAAGCTATCACACAGCAAGGTGCAGAAATGTCTGTGTTGCCTGTTGTCTGTGTGTAAATGGAGATATTTTGTTTTGTGGCACGAAACTGAAGCTTTTTGCGTCCCGAGCGAGGATTGCCCAACGCCCTTTTCAAGCGTCGCGCTGTCTGCTTCCTTAATACCCTTGTGCATGTGTGTGTGAGTGGTGTGTCTGTGGGTGAAAGTGACGAGAGCGTGCGAAAAAAGGATAACACTACTCAGCAGGACTGTGCTGTGCTGTGGTGCCCAATAAGCCAAGAGAGGCGTGGAATTTCCCTGTTAAATTTCATTGCATAAATGTTTTGCTTGCCTTGCCTCATCATTACGATGAGGATGATAATTATAAATATATATAGGAGGCAAAATTGGCAACCATTTGGCAAACAGCAAACAAAAAAATATATGTATATAAAGAGTGTTTGCTGGTTTTTGGGTCACACACTGCATCCATCGGACCCCCATTGATGACAACCAAAACACGCTCTTTTCAATATCTGCTTTACGGCCTGGGACTGGGCCTGTTGTCTGAGGTCAACTAGTTTATTCCGTAGTAGTATCATAATGCCCGATGTGGGCAAAAAACGAAAGCAAAAACTACGCATTTTTGTTCAATCATAATACGGGCAAAACAAAAACACGTTTTACAACTCCAGCGACGGCTCCGCTCCCCACCAGCGGTGCGGTGCGGCGAGGCGCGGCGCGAAATTTCGTATCTCTTGTTGTTGTCCATAGCTCCACACAACACAACACACACACTCTTGCACGTACACATTTACATATATGTATATATGCACAGCAATCGTGCCATGAATGACTACTAGTGGGGATGACAGGCGGCCAGAAAGACCAGGCAGGCCAGGCCAAGCCAGGCCGATAAATGCGTACGACAGGCAGCTCCAGCTCCAGCTCCACCTACAACAAAAACAATAATTAAAGGCAATAACCGAAGCGTAACCGCATCGTAGTTTTGTTATGGATTTCCGTTCGTAGTAATAGTGTTTGTTGTTCTGCTGGTCAGTTGGCTTCTGCGTCGTCGGCACAAATTTTCGTGCGCTGACGTCACGTACAGGCGCACCATGGTGTACTCAAACAAGGTGAGCCAGCTTCCACACTGCGCTCTCAGTACAGTTTTGGTGTCTCTTGTGCGGAGAGATAGTGAGAGCGTGTAAAGAGAATAAGTAACTGGAAGGCGGAACCCCACTTGCATACACCTTGTTGGCAGCAACCGTCATCACGGTCGGCGCCACAAAGCTCCATCTCCATCTCGCTCTCGTTATTTGTTTGTGTATTGCAACATGCGTGGGCGTTGTACCCGTTTCATTTGGTGCCTCTTCCTGGGCGTGTGTGTGTGTGTGCGTGAGGTCAGTATTGCGTGAACTTTTTGCTCTGGATTGAGTGGTGCGAGTGCGACGTATCTCATTTGGTTGGATTCGGTGGCGGGGGTGGCGGCGTCGTCTCATTATCGCTGCCATCTTCACTTTGCGCTAATTGGACTTTTGCATGCGCATTACACTCTTGTCGGTGTGTGTGTGTGTGTGTGTGTGAGGGAGGCGGAGGGTTTATATTGAATGCCAATTGGGGGTATTTATTATTCCTATTGGCTTACATCATTCTGGAATTAAACGGGGGGGTTCGATTCTTATCTGCGTTCTTTTTGTGTGCCATTATGACAGGTGGACACAGGTGGAGCAGGTAGGCAATAAATGTTGTTGCTATCTGCTCGGTTCGTGTGGTGCGGGGGGGCAGATGGCACTGCAGCACCTGCTGATTCCGTTATCGTCTTGTGCCTTGCCCACTGATACGGCATTCTGTTCATTTCCACTGTTCCCCCTTTTTTGGGTTCTGTTCTCCTTTCTGCTCCTTTGTTTGTTTTTATGCTGCTTTCGCACACATTTTAAGCGCTTGCTTGGGCTATTTTTAGCCCACGTAGGCTGCCTGGTCCCTTCCTCCTCATTCGCTTCCCTCTCTTTGTGTGTGTGTTTTCCTGATGCGAAATTCCATTTGGGAGAGAGCTGATGACGTCAAGAGATGTTCTCGTTCTGCTCCGAGTTTTCGCTATTCACGTTTTACTGTTAATGCAGTGCGGGGTGAGTGGTGATCGGGGATTGGGGGAGTCCGACTCCAATGCGCGATGCTAATTGTACTTCAAATATGCAAAAATTGCAGCGAAAAAAATCGCAAAATATCACGAACTGCAGCTGCAGAGGCAGAGGCAGCAGCCGAAACCAAAGAAACTAAAAACAACAATAAACATTTTGATGTCTACATTCCGGCATAGCCATCTCTTTCTCCCCCCTCACACAGTGGCAACAAATTGCCATTTCCAATGGAAATGGATATGAAATTGTAAACATGCAAAAATGGCAAACCAATGGCAGCCGTAGGCCTGTAATTAGAAAGGGAAATCGATCCGAACTGGCAAATACTCTGCCCCCCTGTAAGCGTTTGTAAATCTCCCATGAGACAGCAACCGCAGCTTGGCTTACTTTCAGCGAATATGTCCAAAAAGTGTGTCCAAAAACCACTGGCAACACCAAAATTGGCCCAAAGTGTGTGGGGCAACATGTGTTTGATTTCATTAGTACGTCGCTGTGCACCTGAGCTGCAGCAGAGGGGGGCAAAGCGAGAGAGAGAGATCTAAGCTTTTAAAAGGCATGCAACAAGTCGACAAATATCGCATGCGATAAAAGCAAGCCATACAGAGAGAGCAATAGAGAGAGAGCCGGCATGCACACAGTAACTGAGAGAGAGAGCAGAAAAGCAAAGCTCGCGCTCTCTGACTTTTGGCGCTTTGGGGCTCTGGCTTCAATCTTTCAGCTTTCAAACCAAAACTCGCAATCGAAGCGCGCGGTCACGAGCGAAAGAAATCTCTCAAGTCACGCATGCGCAGACTCTCCCGACACTCGTCTCTCCCCCAGGCGCATCGCCTCGTATATGTTTGTGTGTGTCCCAGTGTGTGTGTGTGTGGTCAATAATCAACTGCAATCCGCTTTTTGCAATACATAATAACAATTAATTAATTTGCGGCGGTATGCAAAGCGGCGTGATAATTGATTCAGCTATCGGCTGAGGCTTAAAGCTCAAATGTGCAAACAAAAAAATAAATAAAAGTGCAACAAAAGGTGGCAGAAGCGCTCGCGCGTGTGTGATGTAACCCCCTCGCCCGTTAATCGGTTAACAAAGCAAAATCGTTCGCTCTCCAAAGTAATAACTAATTATACAAAACGCAAAACGAATGTTCGATAGTGATCGGTGTGGTGGGGACAGGGGGGTGGGTTTCAGCCCCAAAGGAAGAGTGTGAAATGGGGGGGGCTTCCTGGGTTTGAACTTTCCAGCTGTTTTATGGATACATCCGATCTGTCGGATCATGCTATTTGGTGGCGCAATGACCTCTTCTTCTTTGGTTTGCTTTTGATTTGCTTCTCCTCTCTTTTTATTCGGGCTGGGGGGATGTCCATTTAATTATGGGGCTTGGGTCACAGATTTATTACAAATGAATGAATGATTGCCCATCCATCTCAGTCGTTCGTATGTACGAATTAAATATTGCCAAAGGCATAATCTGCTGGAAATGAAAGTGACCTCCCATAACCCAGTCTCTCTCTCTCTCTCTTGAGCCTCCCATCTTCGTCCCTTGGGAGTCTCTTCTCCCTCTCTTGCTCCCTTTTGGAACCTTTTCTTCTTCTTGGCTCTTCCTCCACTTATCCTCCTTTCCCTGCGATTTGCATGAATCATTCAGGCTGGTGGAAAAACCCTTCCTTCAATTGATTTCCACGCTAATTTCCACTCGACGTGCCTGCCACTCGCCACTCGACAGAGCGACAGATCGTGGGCTTATATATATATGTATATATTTTTTTTTTTTGTGTCGAGCTGCGAAAAGCGATTTTCAATTTTCCAGCGCATTAGTCATCGGCCAGCCTAATCGTTCCAAGCGGACTGGCGGCCTAAACTGTAACTAGTTTTTTCGCCAACGCAGCGACAGAGACGACTTGAGCTTGGGGCATGACTCCTGGAGCGGGGAGGGGGTAGTGTAGTCCGTGTCTCTTGCTGGCTGGACCACAGAGTGAAAGTGGACAATGAGCATGGGAGAGTTAGCGCTGTTGCCTGAAGACGCAGAAAATGCTGTTAGCTTTAGTTTTAGCTTTAGCTTCAAACTCTTCAATTTGAAAGACGCGTGAAACAATTTTGTAGCTTTTCTTGGCTGCCCCTCCTCTCCACTTATTCAATTTGCCATTCACTGCACACACCAAACCACCACCACACCACCACCACACCACACGCCTTCGAGGCGAATAAGAAGACGCGGCTTTAACCCCTCCCCTCCCCCCACTGCACTTTCCTCGGCCAAAGCCAATGGCGCATTTCATTTCTCATTTCTTATTTCTCAATTAATTTGGTTTATTGCGTGCCAGGCACGTTCAAAATAATTATTAAACTCTGCTTAGACTTTGATTATTAATTGAATGTTAAATGCAGAGAGCAGAGCAGCCAGAGAGAGAGAGAGAGGTCCCTCTCTCTGTTTTGACTGAGAGTGCAGTCACCTCTCTCTCTCTCCCTCACTCTGTCTTCTGGCAGGCGGCACAGGAGGGTATGGGAGTGAAAGTTTTACTGTCCGCTTGCCAAAATGATAAATGCAACCGACCAGACAGTCAGCAGCCCCGGCGGCTATCAAAACAAATGCGATCCTACCCCCCGTACCCCCTACAGTCGCCAAAGCACCCGAGGATATCCGGCGGAGTAACAGAGACAGAGAGAGCGAGGGAGAGACTCACGCATTTTGGACATTGGCCCATTCCCATTGTCTCTTTGGTGTTTCTTTCGTTTCTGTTTTGTTTCGTGACTTCTTTCGAGGAGTGTTGGTGAGGGGGGAGGCGGCGGAAAGGTGGATTGGGCCTCTCTTATTGCCACTTTGTTTTAGTCAACTTTTATGATGATTTTGCTTTTCATTTTGCAGCCAGAAAGAGCGACCAAGGCAGAGAGAGGGGAGAGACACAGTGTTGTTGTGTCATACATAATTCTGTTATTGTTTTCTTTAATTGGTTTTTTTTTTGTGCTTTCGTTGAGTTTTCTGGTGTTGACTTTCTGTGGCCCCACAGCTCTCCTCTCCGCTCCTATCTGCACCGCACACTTTTCCCCCTTCAGGTTTCCGTGCTGAGAATTTCATTTTGTGCCCCCCCACGCCCCTTCAGCCCTACACCACCTGTTTTGTGGGTCGCCCGATAAGAAATCACTTTCCACGCGCTTGCTCGGAGCTCGGCTGGCTCTCTCGATTCTTTTGCTCATTTGCATTATTAATTGTGTCGTCGCTGCTGTTCTCCAGGGGGAAAGTGAAAAGCGGGCAGAAGATGCACTCCCCTCCCCATGCGACGAACGCATGCCCTGCCCCCTCTTGGCTGCCCCAATACCCAATTCGCAATGGATTCTCCCTGCCCAAACTTTCCCAAACGCACAATGCCACAGTGGGGAAAAACAATGGCATGGGTCTGGGTCTCCTCCTGCTACTCGATGACTGTGGCATTCCCACGCCCAAATTATTTGCACAATATGTGGCCAAAAGCAGAGCTCCAGCTCCCCAGCTCCCAGCTACAGCTACAGCTCCAGTAAATTCCAATTCAATTCGTGTTCGTGTTTTCCCAACCCAAAGACAGGGACAGAGACAGAGAGAGAGAAAGAGAGAGCAATAGGGTAGTGGCATGGCATTTCGAGCAGCAGTTAGTGGAGCACTCTTTTGGCCCATTGTCGGCCTGCCTGGCTGCCTGCTGCCTGCCTGTTGACGGCTTCGAGTGTAAGCCCGTAAGCCCCATAAGAAGCAGTAACCGTTAATGTGGCAAATTGACTTGTCGAGCAGAGCCACAAAAGCAGTTGTTATTACGAGTATATACATATGTATGTGCATATATGTACATATGTATATAGTGGAGCTATCTATGTAGTATATCTATCCCTGCCTTACTATCTAGAGTTAACCCCCCCCACTCCTACTCCGTTCTACGGCGGATTCAAAGTCAATTTTCTGCTTCTGTTTCATGTCTGCTTTTTTTTCACTCTGTTTCCCCCCCCCCCTTCGATTCAAACTATTATTCCGCCTGGCTTTTTGTTTTGTTTGTTTGTATCTAGAGTTTTCTCTTTAGAAATTTCCCATTTGCACTTCTTTTTTTTTTATCCATTATTTGCACTGCCTGACGGTCTGTCTGACGGTCTGCTGGCTCTGCCTTCTGGCCTTCTCCATTGATTCCATTGGACAACGGACGACGGACGATACGATCCATTGTGTGGCATGAGGCAGACAAGAGAGAGAGGGAGAGAGAGAGAGAGCGAGAGCAAATCGAAGAGTGGCTAAGAAGAAGAACCTTAATTAGTATTATTACTGAAATGAAAACAATTTGTACCTGGACAAAAGGTCTACCCCCCACCCCACCCCCATTCACTCTGGTTCTGGGGATTAGCCTCGTTTCGAGTGAGTGCCACTAAATGGGATGTGTCTACCCCCCTCCCTGCACCACCACAGTGACTCCAAATGTTGCGCCACCACAAGCAGATACCCAAGAAAAGTAAAACCAAATGAAGGCTTCCACATCCATGGAAGGAACATGGTGACAACAATTAAGATAACCTGCGATGGGATCTTCATTCAATCCGCATCGAATACAGATCTCATGCCCACGGCAGCGGCAGCAGCAGGAACAGAAACAGGACCCAGACCAAGGGGAGAATCATCATCACCAAGACTACGAGCAGCTGCTGCTGGATCCCTTGGATCGGATCACAATCTAAACGAAAGCGACAATTCGCAGACGAGCAGCGGCAGCCAGAGCGCCTCCAGCCACAGCAGGCGAACCCATCGATCGGCAGGCGGAACGGGAGGGCGCCAGGATCCACGCAGACGTTACTATTTCGGAAGCAAGGACATCTACTGGTGCAAGCAGAGCCTGGTGCCTGGCGGGGGCGGACTGACGCGCAGTTCGAGCAGCGTCACCCACAAGGAATCGAAGTCCACGAACGGCACCCTTTCGGGCGGCCAGGTGATAGCCAAGGCACGCCGCAAGCCGATCCTCCTCTGCAGCAGCCTCAGCGCCGCCTATGCACCGCCGCGCCGCAAGGAGTTTTACTTTTGCGACAAGTATGCGCCCACGAGCGGCGGAAGAGGCGCAACCGGAACCCACACCAAGAGTACAGCAACAGCCGTGCCCCAAGCTACAGCTGCAGCTGCAGCAACAGCCCCAACGCCCCAGCCCATCGATGCCCGTTTGCTGAACTTCCTGCGGAGCGCCCATCGAAAGTTCCAGGCGGCCAAAAGCAGAACGGAGCACCAGCAGCAGCAGCAGCAGAGCAGCAGCAGCCACACCAAAGAGAGATCTTCAGAGAGAGCCAGAGGAAGGGGCCAGTCCCAGTCCCAGACGCAGACGCAGACCCATCGCTCCCTTCCGCCCATCGTGAGGACCGATGATTGGTTCGGTTAGTATGCCCCTCTCTGCCTCCCTCTCTACCTCCCCTGGACTGCAGTTCGTTGACTGTCCGCCCTGCCCCTGCTCCCAATTGCGGTTCTCGTGCGGATTTAGTTACCTGCCAAGCGGCTCGCCAGCCTCATTCTCTTTCCGCTCGCCGGCATTGGGCTGGCGTATTGGGTGTTGGCCAAAGTAGAGCCAGGGTGCAGAGTCTCTGGGGTGTCCAGTTGCATCGTTGCATTGAGAATTGAGATTGGAGATTGGAGATTGGAGATTGGCTGGGGCCAAGTTAAGTCTGTCAAAATAATTGGGAAATTAGTTCTACTCTTTTTGGGGCGCCAACCGCAGCAGCAGCAGGAGAGGCTAACGTAAGACCTCGCCCCGCTATGGCTATGGCTGGCTACTATCCGTGTGATTTGCGTGGGGTGGGGGGTATGGGGGAACAAGTGCATGTATTTATTTTTGTCTGCCACTTGGCGGCTTCCTTCTTCCTGCTGCTTCGCTGCTTTGCGGTTTTCCTGCTGTGCTGCTCATCGGCACTTCGCATGCGATATGCAAATTTCCAACCCCCCTACCCCCAACCCCCTAACCCATCCATTCCGTTCCGTCCGCACGCCACACACACACCATTCATGGACGGTGGTTCCATTCATGGCTTTTGTTTTCCCATTCCCATCATTCCCCATCCCTGCTTCTGCTGAGTCGACTCTAAGGTTACCTTTCTTTTGCAGTGGAGGGGGGGAGTAGGAACTGTTGACTGACTTTCAGCAGCAACGAAGGGTATTTACATGTCTCCTTTGTCTTCCCACCCTTCCCATTTGTATAATGTATACATGTGTGTGTGTGTGCGAGGGCAACAACAACTGTTGGATGACTTTTAGCAGAAACAGAATTAAACTCCCTTCCTCTGGTTGCTCTTGTCTCTCTCTCTTTTCTTCTCTGATATGTGTGTGTGTGTGTACAATAGATTCTCACGTATTCATTACCTCTATAGGTGTTGAACTGTTTATTGGATCCTCCTTTGAGCGCGTCCCCTGCACTTCAGTCTCAGTGCTCCGCTTTGCTTCATGGCGCGAGACGTTGCCCTGCCGCTGCCTGGCTGCTCTCTGGCTGTCAGCTGTTGGCCCATTTCGTTGCAGACAGTCACAGAGAGAGCTTTCAGAGGGGAATATAAGATTGGAGAGTGAGGAACGGGGAACGAGGAATGAAGTGAAGAATGAACCCATTAGCGTAAAGCAGAATGCAGAATGCAAAAGAAAGAGAAGAATTGGACTGGAAAATAGCTAATAGGCAAAGCATTCTACAAATTGTGCTCTTCCTCGATCCCTCCCACCGAGTGATGATGGGGTGGGGTGGGGTGTCGTGTGGCGATAGCTGGCTTGCCTAATTAGTATTACCTCATCCATTTGGCGTGGCATGGCAGCGCCGTCGAACGGGGCTTACTGCGCATTTCGCATTCGCATTCGATTTTTGTTGTTTTTTTTTTGTTTTGCCTGAACATTGAACACAACTCCCACCCGCGTCTGTGGACAGTGCAGTACAAAAGTGTAGGTACAATGAACTGCCAAATGAATCATTCACTGCAATTAGTTGTTGATTTTTGTTGCTTTATTGTACTCGCACTTTGGCACTCATGTCCGGCAGGCAGGGCAGCAGAGATCGTTGTCGTTAATTTCATATTTTGTGTGTGCATTTTTTACGATTATTATTATTATTATTACATTTGGAATTTTGTATTCCATTTTCCATACTATATGTATTCATATTTACGGCCATTTGTGGCGTCTCGGTTACTCCGTTCCATAACAAAAACAATTGTTTATTGAATGATTTATATTTGAGGAACGTGCGGTGTTGCCTGCCCTGCCCCCCTGTCTCCCTGCCTGTGCCTGCTCATTTGTTTACGAACTTCCAAAAGGAATGCCACCCCACCCTAAGTGCGCTCGCTCGTCTCGCTCGTCTCGCATCCGTGGCGCTAGAGTGAGGAATTCTTGAATTCCGATTTGCCAATCCGCCCCCGCACAACTTTATTATTAATTATGTTTTGATTATGTTGCAAGAGCTGTTGTTGTTTCCACTTCGACGGCAGCGGCAGTTTGGCAATAATGCAGCGCACCTGTCGAAGCGTACTGCACACACCTTCCATGGCCACTTCCAGTAAGAGTGAGAGTGGGAGAGCAGTGCATAGCATAAGCAGTCAAAGCAGTCGATTACAGTGTCATCATTCCCCCCTCCAGCCGATGACAGTTCGAGTGGGATTTGCTCTCTGACTCACATTATGTTCTCAGTATGAAGCTGTGACTCCGTTTCCCCATGCTGTTCCCAGAGTCAAGGTCAAGTCAAGGAGATTGAAACCGAGATAGATATATGTACATCCATATGAGGATCTCAGACCTTGTCTGTCCCATTCCACTGTTCCACAGACAGCTCACAGTTGCGTGAGTGAGTGAGTGAGCAAGAAAGAGCAAAACAAAGTCCAGGTTCGATTTATCTTCGCACAATTGAAACAATAAAAAGCAGTGGAAGAACGGGGTACGGGGTACAAGGTACGGGAGGCACGTTGTATTGTTATAAGTGGATTGGAGTGGCAGGAAGCCGCCGCCCCGCCCCTAACGATGACTATTGCTCTGGCTATGACTGGAACGATGATTGAATGCAATTTGCAGAGCAAAATCGAACAGTCATGGCAAACCAATTTGGTGCGGATAGCCGAAAAGCCCGAGCAGCACGAGCGGATGGCTGGCGGAAGTTACTGCCGAAGGTCAGGCGGGGGGGTTGCAGGCCCTGCCCACCCCCCGACAACCTGTCGCAATTAAAACAATGCCCACGCTGCCACACGGACGACTCACTCCCACGATAAATCCAGCCACGAATGACTGCTCAAAGAATGAGAATTTAATATGCAAAAAGCGTTTCCGTCACAGAGAGCGAACGAGCCAGAGCGAGCGAGTTTCGCCAAATGAAATTTGCATTTGCATATAAAATTAAGAAAAAACTTAGGCCTGGAAGAGCACACGAGCAGGCATCTATGGCCTCATAAGATCCCCCCTTGTGAGTCATCCAAAGTCCGTTACGGCATACGATTTGGAGTCCGAACAGTAGCAGTAGCCACAAAAAAAAACCGCTCACAAAGTGCGCCATAAAATGGTGTTTCAATGTTGTTTTATTACGGATGCATGTCACATGCAAAATGTTTTTACATTTTGGCAGATTGTCTTTGCCCCTCTCACTTACTCGATTAACATGCCATTTGTGTGTGGTATTATGGTGTGGTGTGGTGTGGTGTGGTGTGGTGTGGGGTGGTGTGTTGTCTGTTGGCCAACAATTAGCCATGGCGCATCTTCAATGGCTTTTATGTAATCTGCAGATCGATGTGTGCGCAGTGGAGTGGAGTGTGTGCGGAATGACTTACTGATTAAATAGACGTGCGGTTTGTCCATCAAACGAACACGCAAGAGTCCGACCCTACCCCCTCCCCCTCTCGGGGGGCCATCTGGAAATCAACGTGAAATGTGTGTGGAAATGCAGCATTTTCTACGCCAAAGCGTATCTGCAGAACACGTACGGAATCTGATCTGTTTTTATGCATTTTTACAATGGCAATTTATTTGTGATAATTAATATTTAACGAGCATTAATTAATGTGTGTGTCTGTGTGGGCGGGAGGCGGTGGATGGCTCTCGGTTTATCTAAGAGCAAAGATAACGCGTGAGAGGGAGAGATAAGATTATTACAGTTAATTACGGGCGGGGTTTATCAGGCAAAAAAATGTCCAAATAAAACGCTAACCATTTCTCGTATTTGTTTTGCAGACGAGGACGAAGCCGTAGAGAAGGAGAACTGCAGAGAGGGAAAGCCGCATCAGAGGAAATCCAAGGGGCAGCCAACGATCCAGCACTCGAGGACGTCGTCTTCCAGCGAGGGCCAGGACCTCATCACAGTTGAGATCAAGCAAGGACATTTGAGGAAGCATTCAAAGGCCAAAGATACCGTAGATACAGCAGCAGCAACAACTGGAACGCCAACGCCACAAGCAGCGTCAACGGCTATGAACAGTCACGCGACCGCCACACAGAACGGACAAACAACGGTCGTCGGACACCATCGCGGATTCTCGCAGCCATCGGTGACGGTGGCCGCCGCAGCAACGGCCACGGGCAGCACATCGGGGGATCCATGGTTCCTGCAGACAACCGGGCACCAGATGCCGCCCACAGCACCGCTGCGTCACAACAAGCGGCCGGCGCCACAGCCGAATGCAGTTGCAGGCGGCGGTACAGCAGGCACGGCCGTCGGCGCTGTGCTGCTCCACCAGCAGCAGCTGAGCCAATCGCAGCCGCACATTGTGCCGCCAAGCATACCGCCCCACCATCATCATCATCGCGAGAACAATGTGGTAATTGAGTGACCCTCAGCCGCGCCTCTGTGCCTCTCCTCTATCTATTCTAATTCTGAACCCACCTTCTCCTTGTTGTTGCTCTCGTTACAGCATCCCAGCCAGGCCGGAGCAGCGGTCGCCTTGCATTTGTCATCGCATGCGCTTAATAGTCATAATTTAATCAGCAGCAGCAGCAACAGCAGCGCCAGCAATCACCAATCGCCCAAATCCCCCAGCCAGACACAGCAGCAGCTCCAGACGACGCAACAGCAACAGCAGCAGCAGCAGCCACATAGTATACTTTCCACATTTGCTCCTGTGGCTGCCACACAACCGCCTGTCCAGCAGCAGCAACAGCAGCCAGCTGGCGCGGGGATAACCGCCGCAGCCGTGGCCGCTGTTGCCCAGCAACAGCAGCAGCAGCATCTCCAGCTGCTGGCCAACTGTGCTGCCGCGTCGTCCGGCGGCAATCTGATGTCCTCCTCGATGAATGCCGCACAGATGGCGGCACTGCATGCCGCCGAGCGGGCGCTGCCACCAAAGAGCCTTGCGCTGAGTGGAAGCCAACACGGCAGCAGCATGCTGCTGCACACTGTGGCACCTGCCGCGGGCACACAAGTACCACCACTGCCATCAGCTGGTTCGAGTGGCCAGCAGACGGCGGGCATGTCCACTTCCCTGCACAGCTTCGACATCAACGGGGCAGGAGCGGGCTGCGGCGGAGTGGGCGTGAATGTGAATGCGGCAAGCTCGTGGTCGAGCGGCTCCACCACAGCCATGAACCATGCAGCCTCCCTGTCGCCCACAGCGCTGGCACCGCAGCAGCTGCGAAAGTGCGAGGTGAAGCTGAATGCCATGCCGTAAGTTATCCCTGCAGGGAGTGCCGGACTGAATCAGTCGGATTAATGGAGATTCTGATCTGTTTTTAGTTGGTTCCATGGCAGCATAACGCGCGACGAGGCGGAGCATCTGCTGCAGCCGCGCGAGGATGGCCTCTTTCTGGTGCGCGAGTCCACAAACTTTCCGGGCGACTACACGCTCTGTGTCTGCTTTCAGTCGAAGGTGGAGCACTATCGCGTCAAGTATCTGGAGAATAAGCTAACAATCGATGACGAGGAGTACTTTGAGAATCTGGGACAGCTCGTGGCGGTAAGAAATGCCACAAATATATCCCCAATCTATGGCTAATTCTCGCTCTCTCTCTCCCTCGCCCGTTTGCTTTGCAGCACTATGAAGCGGATGCGGATGGCCTGTGCACACAGCTAATCAAATGCCTGCCAAAGCTGGGGAAGCAAGAGTTTTGCATCAATTCCAAGGATTTCGTGGACAAGGGCTGGGTCATACCCGAAGCGGAGCTCCAGCTGCGCGAGAGCATTGGCAAGGGCGAGTTCGGGGATGTGCTGCTGGGCATTCTGCGCAACGAGAAGGTGGCCGTCAAGATGCTCAAGGACGAGGGCGCCGTGCAAAAGTTTCTGGCAGAGGCATCCGTCATGACGTAAGGGCTACAAAATACTCTGCCGCTGCATGGAACTCCAACTAAATTGTGTATCCTTTCTGTTTGGCAGCACCCTGGAGCACGATAACCTGGTGAAGTTTATCGGCCTGGTGTTCACCAGCAAGCATCTGTATCTGGTTACGGAGTACATGAGCAAGGGATCACTGGTTGATTACCTACGTTCGCGCGGACGACAGCACATAACCAAAAAGGATCAAATTATATTTGCCTTGTAAGCCACAAAATACTTTAATTCACTGAGCTGCAGCTGCTTAACAGTTGTGCCCTTTGCCCTTGCAGCGACACTGCCTCTGGCATGGAGTATCTGGAAGCCAAAAAGGTTGTGCATCGCGATCTGGCTGCACGCAATGTCCTCATATCCGAGGACTGTGTGGCCAAGGTATCCGATTTCGGTTTGGCACGCGAGGAATGCTACAATCTCGATGTTGGCAAGCTGCCCATCAAATGGACAGCACCCGAGGCGCTCAAGAATGGGGTAAGTGTCGCCACACAGCTGCTGCTGCCTGCCTGATGCCTGTTGCCTGTTGCCACTGCCTAACACCCTTGACCCTCTTTTCTGTAGCGCTTCTCCAACAAATCGGACATGTGGAGCTTTGGCATACTGCTATGGGAAATCTACTCCTTTGGGCGTGTGCCTTATCCCAGAATTGTATGTAATCAATGAATCAAATGAATCCTCAAAGCTCATTCTGTATATATTTGTGTGTGTGTGTTTTCTTTTAGCCCCTGGCCGATGTGGTCAAGCACGTGGAAGTGGGCTACAAAATGGAGGCGCCCGAGGGCTGTCCACCCGAAATCTATGAGATGATGCGCCAGGCCTGGGATCTGAATCCGGCCAAGCGACCCACATTCGCGGAGCTGAAAGTGAAGCTGCAGCTGCTGAACAATGCCACAGCGTGAGGAGATACAGATACGCCGTTTCCACACAAAAAAAAGCGAACTACAAGCAGCACTAAAAGCGGTAGGGGCTGCGCACCCGCACCCAGGGAGCACACAGCCCGGGCCCTACGATCCGGTGGAACACTGGACCCTGGACACTGGACATGACACTGAACGCAACAATTTTTCGTACGATTATATACATAAATGGAATATATATATATGTGTATATATATACATATATGTGTAACAACTAATTTACCACAAAATTTATTTACATATATAATTTATGGCGTAAGTTTTGTAAGCGTAAACGTAGGCCTAAGCGAAAGAGGAAGTAGAAGAAGAAGGAGAACCCAAACACACACACAATCAAACAATCATCCAGAATGTTAGTGAGAGTCCCCAGGCCGCAAGCCCCAAGCCCCCCACAGCTTCCGACATATACAATACAACGTTGTACGCGCGACTCAATAAATTTTGAAGCATAAATTAACCAACAGAGAAGGGAGAGGAAGGAGTTTGAAGAGGCACTCGCACTCCAACTACTACTACCTTTTAATTGCAACATTAATTACATTTACATTTATTCTATATATGTTATGTGGGGGGGGTGCACACTCAACGTTTCTGCTCTACTCTGATTATTCGTGAATTCGTGAAATTGTATCATTTATGTTATAGAATACGCATACATATGAGTGCCCGCACCTCCCGCCTGAGCTGGTGCGGCAGGAGGGGGGGAGGCTGTGGGCGCATGTCTAAACCAATTGTTTATAGAATGTTTCTTCACTTAAGTTTTATATTCTACGACTCACTCTAGTTCTTTACGCAACTAAAACTACTTTTCTGTTGACCATTTCTGTTTGTAGCACAAAAAAAAAAATGATGATGATAAGCGAGTGGGAGAGGCAGGAGGAGGAGTAGGAGGAACTTGTCCAACAAGTTGGTTGGGGTGGCCAAGCAGAGCAATCAGAAAGTTAGTTAAATTTAGTTACATTTATTTGTATGGAAAATAGCGAGAGAAAAAAGAAAAAGAAAATGGAAAAAAACCAACAAAAATTATGCAATGGAAAAGGATAAACAACAGCAACAACAACAAAAAACAAAAACACTTGTGAAAATATGCATTAAAATTAATACAATACACACACACATAATTCACTTAATCGTACATAAACTATTTAATTAGCATATGAAACGGATTAATTCATTAATTAATTATCGATATACAAATACTATTCAATTAATGCAAGGCAAGCGCAAATTAAATTCCTTAATTTGTACGGTCCTACCTACATACCTACCTACATACACATGCATACATATGTCCAAGGAATCTCTCCTTCTCTGTAGTCTAGAACTCAAACTAGAACGCGATGCAGCTAGCGGAAAGGCAAAGGAATAAACAAAACAAAAACAAATTGTAATTTATTTTTTTTAAATAATACATAATAATTTACTTAACACCCGTACACCCACGTACACGTAATGTTTACGTTTATGTTTATGTTTACGGCGCATCTTCTTGTACATTTTGTATTTGCTTTTTAATTTCCTTTTAAACCCCCGCCCACACACTTTGCTTTAACACTTACATTTATATAGTTCTATATTTTATATACACAACACAAACAAACACACACACATTAATTAATTAATTACCAATTAATTAATTTTAAAGTTATTATTTTTTTAAAAACAAATCAATCAATCAATCAATTGTGAAGCGCAATGCCCCGGAGTTTGTTCTCTTTAAGCCACACAAACACACACACACACCAACACTCACACACAAATTGAACTTAAAAAAAAAGATGGTGATTTAATGAAGGAAGAGAAGGGGCAGAGCAAGGAAGGCAGCCCGACAGAGCAGCTGAGTTCTGAAACTTTTAATAAAAGTAAAGAATACCAAGCATGAAATGGAAATGGATCGAAACCCCTTCGATCGAGTGTTCAGTTTGGGGGCATGGGAATGGGAATGGGAAATCGCAGATTTTGGCAATTGTTTGCTGTTTTTATTCTTCACATAAATCAATTGAACTAATGACGAAACATTCAAAAATTTCAAAATAAACATACAAATTTGAGGGCAGGGCAGGGCAGGGCTGCTCCTACTTTTGCAGCCGCCTGGTGGCACGTCGTATGGGGCGTGGCTCCGAAGTGTTTGGCGGCAGGGCAAACATATTGCCAGCGTTTATTTGCTGCGACATGCCGGGCGCCACACTCGCCGATGGTGTGCCGAAACTGAAGGCTCCTCCGCCGCCCGGACTGGGGGCTGCTGCTGCTGGCTGTACAGGCGATGGACTGGGACTGCCAAAGGCACTGGCACCGCCGCCGCCGCCAAAGCTGAACGGCTTGGCCGTATTTACGTTCTGGTTGATGGTCGGAGGGGCTGCTGTTGCTCCGCCGAACGAGAAGGGAGCGTTGCCCGGTGGTGGAGCCACCGCCTGTTGTTGGGTGTTCGTCTTGCTTGTTGCTCCGCCAAACGAGAAGCCGCCCGGCTTGGCCTGATTCTGAACGGCGCTCACCGCATTGGCGAACAGGTTGCCGCCCATGGCAGGATTTGCGCTGGGCGCTGCGGCTGTGTTGCCACCGAACGCAAAGGGTTTGCTCTGATTGCCAGTAGCGGGGGCTGCAGGTGCTCCAAATCCGCCGAAGCTTGGCGCCGCAGCGGGTGCTGCATTTTGAGTGTTGCTGCTGCTGCTGCTGCCGCCACCAAAACTGAAGCTTGGCTTGATGGACGCACTTGGTGTGGCGGCTGCAGGCTGGCCAAACATGCTGGCGCCACTGGTCTCCTTCTTGGCGACAGCGGCAAAGGAGAATCCACCCGGCTGACCCGGGCCTGACTGCTGCTGCTGCTGCTGTCCTGCTGCGCCGATTGGGCCACTCTGATTGTTGCTGCTGCCGCCGAAGCTGAAGCTCGTCTTTGCGCCCGTGCTGGCGTTGTTGGGCGTTCCAAACATACTCGCTCCTCCATTGGTGGTTGGCTCGTTCTTCTTGGCAACGGCCGCAAAGGAGAATCCTCCCGCTGGCGATGAAGCGGTGGAGGCGGCTGCTCCATTCACCTGCTGCTGTCCGCCACCAAATGAAAATGGTTTGGTGGCTGTGGCGGCTCCTGGAGCGGCATTAATGCCGCTCTGAGTGCCGATCGGCTTCTGCGCTGCATTGAAGCTGAAGGCACTGTTGGACGGGGTGGCATTGGTCGATGCGGCGCTGCCAAAGGAAGGAGTGCCACTAGTGCCGCCTCCCCCAAAGTTGAACAAGTTGTTGGTGTTGGTGTTGCTGCCATTCGACTGCACAGCAGTTGTGGCGCCGGTGTCGCCTCCAAATACAAATGCTGGCTTGTTTGGCTCCTTGACGGTGTTTGGTGTGGTGGAGGCGGCTGCTGCTGCAGCGCCGCCAAAGGAAAAGGGTGCCGGTGTAGCTGCAGCTGCACTCTGTCCGAACATGTTCCCTGAGTTGGTGGGCGCTGGTGCCGGTGCTGCCGCTGGCGCTGGCTTTGCGGCTGCCGCACCACCAAACGAAAAGAGATTTGGTGGTGGTGCTGCTGCAGCAGCTGTGTTTGTTGTTTCCGTGAAACTGAATGCATTTGTCGGCTGAGCAACTGTGACTGCTGCTGCTGCTGCGGGCGGCTTGAATGCGCTGCCAAAACTGTTGGCGCCGAAGCTCGACTTTATTCCAATTATGGCGGAAGGCTTCGCTGGCTCTGGCTCCACTGTGTGGCTGGCTTTGATCGCTTCCGGCTGCTTGAATGCGCTGCTAAAACTGTTGTTCTGTGGCTGATTTCCAAACAAGGATGTAGCTGGAGTTGCTGTCGGTGTAGCTGTTGGTGGGGCTGCTGTGGTGCTGCCAAAACTAAAGACAGGAGGCTTCGCGGCTGCTCCTGCTGCTCCGCTGGTCTCCGCCGGTTTTCCAAACACAAATGCGGCTGTGCTTGTCGCGGTGGTGCTGTTGCTCCCGAAGTTCATTGCTGGCATGCTGAAAGTCGTTGTAGTTGCAGGCGTCGATGTAGTTCGTTCTCCATTCATCTTGTTTATGGAATTGGGACTGGGACTGGGATTGCTATCCAGTTTGAATGGGGTGGCAGTGCCTACTGTCGGCGCTTTGCCAAATGATAGTACGGCCGCTGGGGCACTGCTTGGGGCGGCAAATGCTGACGTTGGTTTCGAAGGTGCCTCCGTGGCAGTGGCTGTGGACTTTGGACTTCCAAATGTCAGCACTGGTGTGGCTGCCGGAGAGCTCGAAGTTGTTGTGGCTGGCGTTTCCTTTGATGACTCTTTGGGTGCTGCTGTCGCTGCTGTTGCTGCTGTTGCTGCTGTCGCTGCTGTTGCTGCTGTTGCTGGGGCTTGACCAAAGAGAAGCTTTGGCTGCAAGCCATTTATCGTGGCCGTTGTGGCTGTGGCTATTCCTGTTGCTGTTGCTGTTCCTGTTGCTGGTACAATCACCTTTTCACTCAATATAATTGGCTTGTCACTGCTGGACGTTGTCGTGGTCTTGGTTATTGTCGAGAGGCTGGTCGTTGTTGTGAGGGTTGTGGATGTCATTGGCACAATCGGTTTGATGGGTGTCTTTGGACTGACGGGTGCGTCCATTTCGTCTGGTTCATCTCCCTGGTAGATCTCGCCGCGCAGCCCACTCAGCATAATGGCCAGCTTCGTTTTGTGTGTGCGCTCGACGCTGGGATTCTTCACGCCACCCATGGAGTTCTGCTGCTTGGGCTTCACAAACTGTATGCCCGCGTATTCGCCAGCCTCCACGTCGGGACTGTCGAGATCATAATGTTTCGTCTGCCGCTTTTGCAGCTGCTCCTGCGAATGCTTGGCATTGAATAGCGTGAGCTTAGGCTTGGAGGCAGCCAAAGGCAGCTCCAGTGCAGCCTGGTGTTCCGCATTGATCTGTTGCTGCTGCTGGCCCAGAGTCGGGGCCGAGATGGTGCGTGGTGGCGCCACTACTGGCACTGCTACAGTCGGCACACTCTGTGCCTTGGATATGGGTTCGGCTTCAATCTTGCGCTGCATCTTGGACACATGGGCGCTGGGGGAGATCTCGGGTGAGCTGCCACCGGCTGGGCCCTCCATGCTGGTCTGCCGCATGCTCTCCCGCATGTCGTACAGCTTGCGCTTGCTCACGTGCCGTCGGCTGGAACTCAGCGAGGAGGCAATGTCATTGTTGTAGCTACAGTTGCGACGCTTTGCCAGTTGCTCCGGTGAAATGGCCTCCGTGGCCTGCAGCTGATGCTGTGTCTGTGTCGGCGGCGCTTGCGGTGGCGGCACCATTGTCGCCGCATGATGGTGTCTCAGTGGAACTGCCACACTCAGCTCTCGTTGCCTTTTGAAGGTCGTCGCGGGAGACGGATGATGGTCCACGAAGTCGCCAAAGCGCTGGCAGCTCCTCTTGAGGAACTCGTGCTGCTTTTGTGTGTCCTGAACAAAATCGAAGCCTGAGCCCTTGCCACAAGATCCCAGCACGCAAACACTTACCCCACTGTTGATACGCTTCCGAGAGATCTCTTTGAGTTCTTCCAGCACACTCCTGGTGGGCTCGCTCTCATGCTGCGGCGGATGTGGATGCAGGATGGGGCGATTCTCGCGCGACAGCTGCTCGTGTTCATTATTCGCCTTGGGCACACCCACCACCGAATTGGAGCGCAGCAGCCCCGGCAGCGTGTTGCCGCAGTAGAAACTGCGCTCTGGCGGCGCAATTCGTGTCATGGACAGTGCCGGTGGCGATGGTCTGTATGGCAGTGGGGACGAGGGGGTCCTTCTTGGCTGCTTCAGTGGATTGTACAGATTGCTCACAGACATGCTACGATGTAGGCCACGACGCGCGCCCACCGTGCTCTCGTGATGATATGCGACTATCCGCGAGGCCAGTCCACTACTGTGCACATCCGCAAAAGTTCTGCAAGCGTACAGTCGGCATTGGGGAAGGAAGGGATTGATGTTGAATCGTTTTACATACTTGGGATCCAGCTGACTGAGGTTCAGCTTCTGCCGCGATATTGTGGATGTCGATGACGCGGTGCGGCTTCCCAGGCTGCCATTAGTTGTATTGTGGCTCCGTTCGAGACTCAGAGCTCTGTGCGAGAGATTCGCCGGCGAATGGCGAGGAGCTCTACAAGAAACAAACAAAAGGCGTTTAGTAGTAGAGATCAGATATGTGTGACACAGTCCTTACACTGGAGTGCCATCAATTCTGGTAGAGTCAGCAATGGGATTGCTGTGATGCGGCGACATGCTGCTCAAGCTTAAGCGCGGCTGAGGCTTCATTCTGGTACAGGCCGATCCGGTTTCTATTGAGTTGCAGTATTACTGTCTGGCAATTGTTCAGGTGCCAAGTCTTGAGCCAGTCTATAGAAACCGAATTAGTTAATCACAGCACCAGAAAAGAAGTAAAAAATTAGAAATTAAATTTGCCTTGCGACCAGTGGATTTATCGATAAAATATACCGTCTGACCCCCAGAAAGATATTAAAATATACCTTATCATTTTTAAAATATACCGTAAATATACTGACTATGATATTCCTCGATTTTGATATTCGGTTTAATATTATTAGCGTGTTGGCCCTCTCAACTCTAAAAAAATGATTTTATCCAATTCCTGAATAAATTTGGATCAGGATTGGCTAGTTTTCAGAACTCATTTTTATTGGATTGTTTACATAATAGGGTTCAAACAAAAACGGTTAGAGTATAAAACGTAAGTGTGAACTCCGGTCACATTCTGTCATTGTTGCTGGTCAACCAAGTTTCTTAATGTAATGCGTATGGACATTTGTATACCCTATTTCCATTTAATTAATGTGAAATTGTTGTTACAAGCTACTTTGAAACATTAATATTACATTTTTCTTAGATTGCCATGTTTTTTCCCTATTAACGCATATGTTTTGTGTTTTATAAATACATTAATCCCTGTTCTGATACCTGTTTTTGGTACCCGTGAGCTGCAAAATTTCGCTAATATCTGTAAAACAGAGACTGAGTAGTTTCTGCATTAATTGAAGCCTGAAATTACAAACAATATCTCTATTCTATAATATCCATTCCGTTCCAAAGTTGCACAACAATTATGCTAGTTCATTTCCCCATATTGTGAAATTTTTCCCATACCCCGTTAAGAACTTGCAGCTCACACTACAAAAGAGCGAATTTCACCACGAAAAAGAGAGCAAATTTCGAAAAAAAAAACCACCACGATTTGAGAGCGAAAAATGTCGGTTTTTTTTGTGCGCTAAATGGAGTGTGGCGGTCATTTTGAAAAGTACTTTAATATACCTTATAAAAATAGATTGGAACTTGATTAAATATACTTTTATAAACCGATATACGACCGTGGATTTATGGATAAAAGAAACCTCTCTGACCTTCAGAAATAAAGCGAAATATATGCGTACGTTTCAAAACAGCGTTGCCGTACTCGATTGCTGAAATACTGCCCTGAAAACAGCGTTGCCAGAACCAACTGCCGATATATATCGATACACACCCTTCCCAACCGAAGCCAACTTCAGGTACGTCGCTGTCACGAATTGCAATTTTTATAAAAAGAAAAGAAAAATCGAAATCACTTTTTCATACGCGAAAAAGTGCCAGTGTCGTATTTAAAACACCTCATTTCAGCTGCAAACGTAAGTGGAACACATTCCAGTGGATTTTAATGGTAAAACAAGTGATATGCATAGCTAAATATCATCTTTTTTTTCGCCATTTCTTTTTTTCGTCTACGCCATCGCCATCGTGCTGCTGCTGCTGCTGCTATTGCTGTGACTTTGTATTGCTCTGTGCTGTGCAATTGTGTTGGTCGATTCGATTGTGTGGGACGGATGGACGACGTACATATATTTTTTTTTTTCACTGCTGCTGTGCCCCTGCGCCCTGTTCTTTGTGTTTATGTGTGCGTGCGATTAAATTTTTTCTTCGCCTCTGTAATTGAAACAAATTACTGAATGCCTCTCAGGAGGTGGACGCCACCCAATTGATTGTTTAGTATACGCATTTTTAAAATAATATATTTCCCTCACTCGCACACCCACACACACAGAGCCGACAAAATGACGTCGTTGGAGCAGAATCGTTTACAAAACTTCAAAAACAAAGGCAAGGATCAGGATGTAAGTGGAAACCGCTGGACGCCCCCTCCGCCCAATTGGCATTTATTTAACACAACAAAAATATTGCATTTGATCGTTATTTAGGAGATGCGCCGCCGCCGCAATGAGGTGACGGTTGAGCTGAGGAAGAACAAGCGCGAGGAGACCATATTGAAGCGCCGCAATGTGCCGAACTTGGACTCGAACACAGACGAGGATGAGCAGTTGCCCACTTCCATTAATCTGAAGAAGCTGGCACAGGCCGCAGCCGATTCCAGCAAGCCAGAACAACAGTTGGCCGCCGTCCAGGCAGCCCGAAAGCTTCTATCCTCGGACAAGAATCCACCCATCAACGATCTTATCCAGAGCGACATATTGCCCATTCTGGTCGAGTGCCTGAAGAATCACAATCACACAATGCTGCAGTTTGAGGCTGCCTGGGCCCTAACCAACATTGCCTCTGGCACCTCAGATCAAACCAATCAGGTAACGAATACAGCCCCCCATCCATACAGGGCTCAATGCCTGCCAGAGGAAAGTTCTAATCTTGGGGCGTGGTATGTGTGGATGCATTACAGGTCGTTGGCGCAGGTGCAGTGCCACTCTTCCTTCAACTTCTGAACTCTCCCGCTGCGAATGTGTGCGAACAGGCCGTGTGGGCCCTAGGTAATATCATCGGCGACGGTCCCATGTTGCGCGACTTTGTCATCAAGCACGGCGTGGTCCAGCCACTGCTGTCGTTCATCAAGCCCGACATACCCATTTCCTTCTTGCGCAATGTCACCTGGGTGATTGTGAACTTGTGCCGCAACAAGGATCCACCCCCACCAGCCGCCACCATTCACGAAATCCTGCCCGCACTCAATGTGCTCATCCATCACACTGACACGAACATCTTGGTGGACACGGTCTGGGCGATTAGCTATCTGACCGACGGCGGAAACGAGCAGATACAAATGGTGATTGAGAGCGGAGTGGTGCCCAAGCTGATACCTCTGCTGGGCAATAGCGAGGTCAAGGTACAGACAGCCGCTCTGCGTGCTGTGGGCAATATTGTGACTGGATCGGACGAGCAGACGCAGGTGGTGCTCAACTATGAGGCACTCTCCTATTTCCCGGTCCTGCTCTCCCATCCCAAGGAGAAGATACGAAAGGAAGCTGTCTGGTTCCTCTCCAATATCACAGCCGGCAACCAGTCACAAGTGCAGGCCGTCATCAATGTGGGTCTCTTGCCCAAAATCATTGAGAACCTGAGCAAGGGTGAATTCCAGACACAGAAGGAGGCCGCCTGGGCTATCAGCAATCTAACCATTAGCGGCAACCGCGAACAGGTCTTCACACTGATCAAGGAGGGTGTCATTCCGCCATTCTGTGATCTCCTCTCATGCCAGGATACGCAAGTTATCAATGTAAGAGATGTGCCTATTCTGTTGCCCACTTCCAGGAGTAACCGTGTCTTTTCCAGGTCGTGCTTGATGGATTAAACAATATGCTCAAAATGGCCGACTCACATGTGGAGACGGTGGCAAACTTCATTGAGGAGTGCGAAGGTCTGGCCAAGATTGAGCGTCTGCAGAGCCACGAGAATGTGGAAATTTATAAACTGGCGTACGAAATCATCGATCAGTACTTTACGGATGAGGTGAGTGTCCGGACGACTTAAAACTAAACGAACGCCATTTTTCTGATTGCTGGAATGTGTTTATTTATTTTTCCAACAGGGCGAACAAACAAACATGGCACCCACATCCGATGGAACACAATACAACTTTGATCCGAATGCTGACAAGCTACCAATGAACTCATTCAACTTTTAAGGATCCACAGAAAAACCAAAACCAGAAACCAGAACGGCAGCGACGGCAGTAAGTCGGTAGTTAAACACACGCGTGCAAACAGACAGACAGAATTTTTTGGCGAAAAGTGCTAAAACTTACATTTACTTACACATTAAGCTTGTGTATAAAAATAGGGGAGCAGCAAACCACTTCACATAATAATGATAGCAATGATATATATTTTCAACCACTCAAAATCCAACAAAACCCAGCCCAAAACAAAATTAATTGCACCATCGGCCAGCAGCAGCAGCCCAAAACCAACACACAAGTGTAGTATTCAGCCAGCAGCAGCAGCAGTTACGGCTCCAAGAGAAAACACAAAGAGCCCAGCCGGATATAAAAACGAACTCTTGTCATCAGTTTTAGCTTCTCTCAATTCTGTGTTAAGAAAATTATAAAACACCTAAATAAATGTGCATGTGGGTCGCCAGAAAACATGATTCGATTTGTATAGTGAACGGGGGCAAGCCAAACCGATTTGCTAACCCGATATACCAACACAGGAATACACGAACGAAAAAGCAAGAATTGTAGAACTATTTGATTTATATGGAATAATTTAATATTATGTACGCCTTTGATTTGTAATTGAAATTACATATGTATACATTTCTAACTAATGAAAACGATAAAAACAAAAAACAAAACAAATCGTATGATCTGTTTACATTCCGTTACATCTCGCTCATTGAACGTGGAGAGGGAGTCAGCCACGGGAAATTGTTTGCTTTATTCTTGCTATAATAATGATCCGAATTCTGCTATCTGGTAGATAATAATTTCTTGTGAATTTCAAATTGGCAAAGATTTTCGAGATTTGAAGTAAACTTGATTCTGTGTGATAGCACAGGAGTCTGCACATAAAATTTGCTTTCTCTAGCTTTTATAGGTCATCAAGAAGGACGGACAGACAGACATGGATAGCTATATTGTGTACCGGGTATTAATAACAAAAAAATCGCTCTTCTGGAATTTATTCCGTTCAAGTTACGAAGAACTAAAACAATATGGTCATACCAGGTGGCGGCCGAGTTGCTGCTTATTATCATTAATTACCATTTATTTACATTTGTGAGCAGTGTTATTTAACCACTGTTATGGAAAGCTTTTCCATACACACAAGTAACAATTGTTTTTCCAACAATCATATCTTAGGGTTTGAACGATAACGATATATTTAACGAAACGATAAGATCCACAAGAGATGCCACATACGTTTTTAGCTAAAACAGGCCTGCTTTTGAAAGCTATTCTCTAAAAATGCCAATTCTAGCCTTAAATAAGCTTAAAGGGCAGCACTGATACCCACGTCACGTGATTTCTTTTGAAATTCAGAAGCTTTTTTAGAATTTAGAATGCATTGCGTGTATTGCATTTATTTCGAGAACTATTTGCTTCCGTCAACATTACGCAGCTGCGGAAATTGGCACATTTGGTCCCCAACACCACACCACTGTGAAAGTCAAGGTCAAGGATGTTTGAGTGAAACAACCTGCTGAAATGAAGCAAAAAATACTTCGTTACCCAAACTTGTTAGATGTGGATCTGTATTTGTATAATATATTAAATTATATAGTAAATAAATGATTTTAGCACATTTATAGATAGTCGAGAGAGTGTTTAATACGAATATGTAAATGTTTATCGCTCTCAGCTGTTCTGGTTCCCGTATGATTGTATGTGTGGGGAGAGCTTCTCTCATGGTGCGCGCCCCACTCTCCACTAACGTGCGCGACGCGTGGACAGAGCTGGTTCGAGGTTTTTGTTGTTCGTAGTTTCCTACTAAATTTTATTTTCTCATTGCTGTTCAGTCCGGTTGGAGGTGTCTTGTCTGGCCCCCGCCACTATTATTGTTCACATTCACAGCACAGCGCGTGGAATTTTTTCGCTCAAGTCAAAAGCACAATAATGTCGTCGTCAACAGCCGTTCAACAGCCACCTCCACCCGTGCCAAAACCACCACCAGCGCCAACAGCTGCTGCCTCCGCTGGAAAGGGTCTTCACTCGAAGGTGTACAATGGCCTCATTGGGGCCTGTGACAAGTTTGTGCCCGCCAAGATGCGTCCGCTGTGGATGCACGCAGCTGGTGAGTTCCATTCCCATCGCGGCTTAGTTCATCGGTGATTCTTGACCAACTTACTGTGGTTCCCTTTCAGGTCCCAAAACGATCTTCTTCTGGGCGCCCGTCTTCAAGTGGGTAAGTGTTGGCGATTCCCCCAGTCGCGTTACATAACTGGGAACATCGCACGACCTTCGCTAATTTTCATTATCGCGCACACATTGAAATCGCAGCGACCATAGAGAAATCTGTGCGCAGGTACCATTAAACGAAATTATTTGATTATTGCGAGCAACCTGCCCGGACGCGCCTGATAACTGTTTGTGTTTGCGTTTGTGTGTGCGTGTGGATTGCGGAAAACTAAGCTAACACATCTCTCCACTCCCTCTGCTTGTAGGGGCTCGTGGCAGCAGGACTAAGTGATTTGGCCAGGCCAGCGGACGCAATTTCTATACCCGCGTGCGCTGCCTTGGCGGCCACGGGCATCGTCTGGTCACGCTACTCGCTGGTGATCATACCCAAGAACTACAGTCTGTTCGCTGTGAATCTCTTTGTCGGCCTGACGCAGGTGGTCCAGCTGGGACGCGCCTTCTACTACCAACAGGAGCAGGAGAAGCTGAAGAAGGCGCAGGAAGAAAAGCCCGCCATCACGCAGTAGAGAATATCCATCGAATTGGTGCTATACCCCCCCCATATCGCCCTCTCCCTATATATGTAATATATAAACAACGCACATCGTTAACGAAAGGATCCCAAAGGCGTATGGCAGATCTACCCTGTGTAGTTTCTGCTTTGATGCACTCTTTGTCGACCATTATTATTTATGGTGTTTTGCCTTATGAACGTGATTCGTACTACTTAAGTTGTAAACGTGGAGGCTTCGCGTATCGTATAGTTTTTATTCATACGAGCATTAATTATTGGACATTTTGTGATCTTCAACAAATAAACCAATACATTGTAAGACTTTAGAAAGTAGTGAAACGAACGTCTTTTTACTGGAAACTCTATATAGAAGAAAGGATTTAGATTTTTGTATATCCAACTTCCACAGAAACTTCGATTTGGAAACCAGTTGGATGTAAAAGCCGTATATTTAGGTATTATTTGCTGAGTTTGATTCTCCGACAATGGCTTAAAATGTGAATTTATGTTTAAATGGGACAGCAGCAGCTTTGCAGCGTGTTTCTGGGTGTCAAGAAGATATCGAAAGTGTTCAATGCACTCGACACTTTTAAAATAAATCTAGTCGCCTTTGACTTCAATCCGAACCATTAATACGTACATACGTCTCATTTAAATTGGGTTAACATTGAGAACACATATACTAAAAGTAAAACTGGAAAATGATTAAGTCCACGATAGACGCGAATGAGCTAAAGCTCTATTCCATTATTGTCTTTAAGCAACTGGCAATGGATGCCAGCAAGCCAGAACAACAGTTCGACGCCGTCCAGGCAGCCCGAAAGCTTCTATCCTCGGACAAGAATCCACCCATCAACGAAGTTATCCAGAGCGGCATGTTGCCCATTCTGGTCGAATGTCTGAGAAACCACAATCGCCCATTGCTCCAATTTGAGGCTGCCTGGGCGCTAACCAACATTGCCTCTGGCACCTCAGATCAAACCAATCAGGTAACGAATGAAAACTTAATAGAGAAAAGTCCTAATCCAGGGAGGGGGATGTGTGCCTTGGGGGTTTGGTTTTCGCAGGTCGTCGGCGCAGGCGCAGTGCCTGTCTTCGTCCAGCTGCTGGGAGCTCCCGCTGAGCGGTTGCGCGAACAGGCCGTTTGGGCCTTGGGTAATATCATCGGCGACAGTCCCTTGTTGTGCAGCTTTGCTGTCAATCACGGCGTGGTCCAGCCGCTGCTGTCGTTCGCGAAACTAGATACAAAGCTTTCCTTATTGCAAATTGTCGTCTGGGCAATCGTGAACTTGTGCCGCAGCAAGGGTCAATCGCTGCCAACCGGCAACATTCACGAGATTCTGAACGCACTCAATGTGCTCGTGGATCACACGGACACGAACATCCTGGTGGACACGGTCTGGGCGACTAGCTATCTGACCGACGGCGGAAGCGAGCGGATACAAATGGTGATTGAGAGCGGAGTGGTGCCCAAGCTGATACCTCTGCTGGGCAGTGGCGAGGTCAAGGTACAGATAGCCGCTCTGCGTGCTGTGGTTAATATAGTGTCTGGATCGGACGATCAGGCACAGGTGGTGCTCAACTGTGGGGCGCTCTACTACATTACGGTCCTGCTCTCCCATCCCGATCTGAACATACGAAAGAATGCGGTCTGGTTTCTCTCGAACGTCGCCGCAGGCAACCAGGCACAGCTGCAGGCCATCATCAATATGGGACTCGTGCCCCAAATCATTGAGAACTTGAGAAGCGTTCACTTCAAGATGCAGACGGTGGCCTCCTGGGCCGTTAGCAACGCGATCTTAATTGGCAACCGCGAACAGGTCTACACACTGATCAAGGAGGGTGTCGTTGCGCCGTTCTGTGATATCCTCTCATGCCAGGATACGCCAGTTATCATGGTAAGAGAGAGATTACCCTTTGTTAAAGTCCATGTCCAGGAGTAACCATATTTTTGTTCCAGATTGTGCTTGAGGCACTAGACAATATGCTCAAATCGGTCGCCGACTCAGATGTGAAGACGGTGGCCAACTTAGTTGCGCAGTGTGGGGGTCTGGCCAAAATTGAGAGCCTGCTAGACCATCAGGCTGAGGAAATTCATACACGGGCTCAGGACATCATCGATCAGTACTTTACGGACTAGGTGCACGGGCTAAGAACTAAACCAGATTTGCATTTGTTCTAATTCGAATTTCTTTCCAACAGGTCCAAAACAGCAACACACAGCCAACACAACACACAAATTTTGATGGATTTGAATTTAAATATACGCTCTCTTTAGCGTTTGTTCCGACTGCCTATAGTGATGGATATATTCGCCCTTTTAAAAACGGATTACAAAAGTGACTTCTGCCTATATTAAAAAATCTATGGGTAGCGCATTGCATTCTTATCTTTACTTATTTGCACACATGTGCTGTGGCGAGAAGGTGTCAGATGGCTATCCAAACAAATTCTGATAATACTAGTGCCCACCCGTGCACAAACATTCGGCTTCAGCTAGTGTGGGGGGGCCACATTTACATACAAAATATATAGGCACATATGTATAAGTCTATAGACTTTTATGCCTGCTGATAATAGAATCGCGCTAGTAAAACTACTAAAACATAAACATAGAGACGGACGGACCCCAGACTTGACAGAACAAAAAGCTCAGTTGCCGATGAGCGCTTCGCTGTCACAGATCTACTTCGGTTTGGGTACGCCGCTCTGCTCTCCAGCACTTGTATCACGTTCCAGTCTTTTACTATTACCAGACTAAGGCTTCTAATCAATTAATTGAAGCTTGATTAGAACAGCGCGAATCATCTGTTCTCAGCTCTCATTATCGAACATCAATTTAGTTTCTCGCGGCAGTCGTTTGGAAAGGTTGGACGTTCAGTACCCTCCAGTAATAGAATGCCACCAAAGCCTCCAGCTGCAGCGCTTGCCTCAGTGGGTAAGGGCATCCACTCCAAGGTGTACAATGGCCTCATTGGAGTCTGTGATAAGTTTGTGCCGCCCAAGATGCGTCCTCTCTGGATGCATCCAGCAGGTGAGTTGTTCAAGAAGCAGCCAATAAATTGATTTCTTTACCAATTCTCCTCTGTTTAGGTCCAAAGACGATATTCTTTTGGGCACCGATCGTCAAGTGGGTAAGTTGTCGGAATCGGGAGCGTTACATAACTTTGACAGCTGCGTCCTTTGGCAGTTTTCATTATCGCAGCGACATTGATAAACAAATCTGTGGGCGGGCGCTTCTGTTGCCATATATTGTGTTTTATTAGTATTTGTTTATGTCGGGGGGGACAACCTGTTCAGAATTCAGCGCCGCGATAAATGCGCAATTGTGCCTCTCATAGAGAACCCCTAGAGAAAGCGGCAGGAGGGAGAGAGAGACCGATCCACTTCCCACACGCGCCACTTTGATAACTGAAAGTTGAATGATTTGGCGGATTTCTCGTGGAATTTTTTATTTTTTGTAGAGAGAGCTTTTAAAACATTCTATAAAGATTTGCCGTCAATGAGAACATAGATTACTTCTCGTTGTATAATTATTCTAATCTTAAAATTGTATTTGTTGTTTCTTTTTTCCATCCCAGGGTCTGGTCATCGCCGGACTAAGTGATCTGACCCGACCGGCGGACACTATTTCCGCGAATGGCTGCCTTGCCCTAGGTGCAACGAATCTCATTTGGACGCGCTATGCTCTGGTGATCATACCAAAGAACTATAGTCTATTTGCTGTCAATCTGTTTGTGAGTCTGACGCAGCTTTTCCAACTGGGACGGGCCTGCAACTACAAGCTGGAGCAGTCCAAGCTGGAGAAGGCAACAGCGGAGAGGCCAGCTCTTCTGCAGCAGTAGAACATAATTTATAGTCATAGGCCAATTTATCCACCACAAATAAATACAATTATTCTCTAGTCCAAAAATATGTTTGAACTTGATTTTAGGGCGCATAAATCATTTATCGATGGGATTTGTGCTATCGATTACTATTATATCTACTGTGCAAGTGTCATCGATGGCCGTCCACCTCTAGTTCAACTGATTGCGAAAAAATAAGTATATTTTTGTTGGATTTTCGCCTATAATTAAAAAACAAACCATGAATTTAATAAGCGGCATAAAGTTGTACATTGAAAAAATGTGCGCAGAGTCGGGGCCGGGCATGAAGATCATCCTGCTGGACAAGGAGACGGTGAGCGAAAGCAATCAATAAGGGAACTTGTATAGAAATCCATATTCCATATCTGTTGCAGACGAGTATTATTTCCATGGCCTTTAGCCAGTCGGACATGCTGCAGCGGGAGGTGTACCTGTTCGAACGCCTCGATTCTGGACGTTCCAACGAGAGGCTCAAGTACCTCAAATGCATTGTGTTCATCCGCCCCACCAAGCAGAACATCCAGCTGTTGGCCAATGAGCTGCGCAACCCAAAATACAGCGCGTATTACATATGTGAGTGAATCAACATATGACCGAACTGATGATAATCCCCCAGTACTGACGCGCACCTTCTTTATAGACTTTAGCAACATTATACCACGCACTGATATCAAATACCTGGCCGAATGCGACGAGTCCGAGTCGGTGAGGGAGGTGAAAGAGCTCTACGCGGACTATTTGTGCGTCAATCCCAATCTGTTCTCCCTCAACATACCCAGCTGCATGGCGAATCTGAACTGGCTGCCAGATGCACTGACACGCAGCATGCAGGGCATCACGGCTGTCCTGCTCTCCCTGAAGCTGAATCCAGTGATTCGGTACCGGGCTGGCTCCCAGGCGGCCCAGCTGCTGGCCAAGATGATCTACGAGCAAATCACCAAGGATTCGACACTGTTTGATTTCCGTTCGAATATGGATGGGTCTGCGCCGCCTTTGCTGCTGGTGCTGGATCGACGAGATGACCCTGTGACGCCGCTGTTGCATCAGTGGACCTACCAGGCCATGGTCCATGAGCTCTTGCAGATTAAGAACAATCGCGTTGATCTCTCGGACCGACCCAATGTGCCCAAGGACTTCAAGGAGCTGGTCTTGTCCGGCGATCAGGATGAATTTTATGGGACAAACATGTACGCGAACTACGGCGAGATTGGAGCCACCATCAAGACGCTGATGGAGGAGTTCCAGCGCAAGGCCAGCGATCAGAAAAAGGTCGAGAGCATAGCGGACATGAAGAACTTCATCGAGTCGTATCCGCAGTTCAAGAAGATGTCGGGCACAGTGCAGAAGCACCTGTGTGTCATTGGCGAGCTCTCGGGGCTGAGCAACAAGCGAAACTTGTTCGAGTTGTCCGAGCTGGAGCAGGAGATTGCCTGCAAGGCCGAGCACTCGGCTCAGCTGCAGCGGATCAAGAAGCTGATTGCCGACGAGCGGGTCACCATTGAGGATGCCCTCAAGCTGGTGGCCCTCTATGCGCTTCGCTATGAGCGTCATGCCAATTGCGATACCTCCAGCCTGCTGCAGATCATCAAGTCGCGCGGCGGACGAGCTCAGATTGTGCCCGCTCTGATCGAGTATGCGGGCAACCATGTGCGCCAGGGCGATCTCTTTAACATGGTGCGGATCACCGATGCCGTGAAGCTAACCAGAAATCTGATCAAGGGTCTGAAGGGTGTGGAGAATGTCTTCACACAGCACACGCCACTGCTGAAGGAAACGCTGGAGGATATATTCAAGGGACGCGAACTGGATCCCGTCTTTCCGGCCATCAATTCCGAACTGGTCCCATTCCGACGACCGCCCCAGGAGGTGGTGGTGTTCATCATTGGCGGTGCCACCTATGAAGAGGCGCTGGCTGTGCATCAGTTGAACAATTCTGGCTACAAGATCATTCTGGGCGGCACCACCATACACAATTCGCAGAGCTTCATCAATGAAGTGCTAGCGGCCACAAATGGCATACAGTTTAAGCACACCAAATCCATGATCAAGTATTGTTCCACAGACAACATTTAGAGGAAACTAAAGGGAGAGAGAGAGAGAGCAGAGGAGCAACTACTTATATTGTTAACTATTTATTATCTGTGTAATCGCCCCCACCACACTTAAGCTTATTCCATGTAAAATATCATTCGTATCTCCAGGCCAGTGTGTTGCCAGGGGAGGCCACAATGTATTATATATCTACTATATATATGAATGTATATGATGTGTAGTTTTAGTGGGTGCCATGGCAACGTCTGCGTCTGTTGTTGATTCAAACAAGAAATCTGAATTTTTTCAAAGGGATATCTTCATCATGTCCAGCACGTATTTCAATGAAATCTGGCATCAGTCGCAGCATGAATGCGAGCTCTTGTCCACCATTGACTATGAGCGTCAGCATCAGGATGTGGAGACAACGGTGGCCACCATGAATGCAGCCGTGGGCTCGGTGGCAGCCGATGCCGATGCCAAGGCCCTGCTGCAGTCGAGTCTCTACGAGTTCTATTTGAGATACATTTGCCTGAGCAATCGCCTGGAGGATGTCTATGATAATGCAAGTACTGTGGCATCCCATCTACAGACAAACATCCTCAAGGCTGTTTCCTTCCACAGATGATCCAGCCGCAGAAGCGACAGTTGGTGCGAAAACTTCTGGATGCCTGCCTGGGGCGTGTCATAGAACTCAAGCACGATCTGGTCAACATTGATCTCATGGAGTTCAGCTACAACGACACAGTGGTGGACAGACTTCGTCTCACGCCCATGGAGACGGAGCTGCGTGTGCCCCGCTACTTTCTGCGCGAGCGGCAGCATGAGCTGGAGTTTCGCAAGCGAACCATGCAGGAGATACTCGTCAAGCTGGGCTGGCTGGAGGAGCACGAGCTTGAGGAGACGGTCACCACGGAGATCGAGGCCATACGCATGCTCCAAATGCACGAGCGGGCACGCCAGGGCCGGCTGCGCGCCCACTTCATGAAGGAGATACGCATCCTCAAGGAGAAGGGCAAATCGGAGGAGCGCAGTGAGAAGGAGCGCAGCGATTCCGGCCTGCTGGCGGCCATGAAGATCCAGAAAATGTGGCGTGGCCACACAGCACGCAGGATAACGCGCCGCCGCAAGATGGAGGAGATGATTCTGATTGGCATGCTCCCTCCCCCCGCAGCGGTGCTCAAAGAACGCGCCGAGAAGCTGGAGAAGCTGCAGCACAACGACAAGCGCTACGAGGCGCAGCTCGTCTATGGGGAACAGTTCGAGACGCGACAGCGGCTCGTCCAGGAGGAGATTCGACAGAAGCACGGGCCCAGCATGAAGGAGGACATTGCTGACGAGATCCGCGCCTGGGTAAAGGATTGCTATGAGAAGACGGGCAAGCTGCCCGACTTTCCCACGGAAGATCAAGGCGGCTCACTGCACATCTTCAGCCGACCAGGCACCGAGAGCGAGCACAGCCGCTCCTCTGCACGATCCTCCAAAGAGTCGCGCAAGACCAAAGACAAGTCCAAGTCGCCGGCACGCAGCGGCGATCTCAATGTGAATGAGAATCAGGAGGAGGACGTGAGCTTCCAGCCGGCACCATCCATCTGCCTGCCCGACATACGCACGGAGATTGATCTGTAAGCGGAATTGGCAATGAAAAGTAGTCAAAGATTGAGCATAATCTCCCTCTTTACGATAGCTTCAATGATACCTGGCGGGACAAGGACGAGACGGGTGTGCTGAGTCAGGCTGCCTACGAGGACATGATCTACAGCGACAAGTACCAGGAGGTGGAGCTCGAATTCCGGCGCGCTGTCGACGATGTGATGCGCCAGGAGATCGAACTGCTGCAGACGGCAGTGGGCAAGAAGATCAAGAAGAGCAGCAAGAAGACGCGTCGCTCCGGCAAGAAGAACAAGAAGAAAAAGGAGAAGGATCTGACGCCTGACCGCACCACAGAGTCGCTGTACGAGGAACTGGTCACCAATGGCATTATCCGCAAGTATCCGGAGCTGAAGCTGAAGCAATTTCTGGGCGACAAGGCGCTGACCGCTCGCAATGGAACGAATCCATCGCCGGGCGATATACGCCAAGTCCTCACGGAGTACTGCATCCTGCCACTGGGCTCGGATGCGATACACAACTGCACACCGCTGATACGTTCCATACTGCTGGCCGGTCCCCGGGGCTCGGGAAAGAAGGCTCTGCTGCATGCCATTTGCACGGAAGTGGGCGCCGTGCTCTTTGACCTTACCCCAGCCAATATTGTGGGAAAATATCCGGGCAAGTCGGGCCTCATTATGCTCATCCATTTGGTGGTGAAGGTCTCCAGGCTGCTGCAGCCAGCTGTCATTTACATGGGCGATGCGGAGCGGCCATTCATGAAGAAGATACCAAAAACCGATCGCACGGATCCTAAGCGCCTGAAGAAGGATTTGCCCAAGCTGATCAAGAATATTGCGCCCGAGGATCGGGTCATATTTGTGGGCACCTCCAATCTGCCCTGGGAGGCGGATCAAAAGATGCTGCAGTCGGTGTACAATCGTTTCATTTACATTCCCCGCCCCGACTATGGGGCCATGTCGCATGCCTGGAAAACGCTGCTACAGTGAGGATAAATCCATAGATCCATATTAGGTTTATCTGCATTTCGTGTCTACTTTTCTTTGCAGTGATTACTCTGGAGGTGTGTCCAATTTGGACACCAGTGCCATGGCGAAGATATCCGATGGCTATACCATAGGCGCCATCGATGCCTGCCTCAAGGAGGTGATGACCTGCAAGCGCAAGCTGCAGCTGCGCACCCAACCGCTGACCAATGCAGAGCTCATCAATGTCCTGTGGTGAGTGCTCGAAAATTTTAACTTCAATATTTGCAATTATTTTTTGCTTTCCTCTTAGCACTCGAGATCCCGTCTATCGCGAAGAGGAGGAGGCCTTTGAGTCCTGGTGGTCTAAAACCCCGCTGGGACGTCGTCGTCAGCGTTTTCTGGAGCTGGAAGAGGAGCGTCTCATAGAGGAGCAGGCCCAGGCGGCCAAGCAGGGAAATGGCAACAAAAAGAAAGGCCTCAACTGACTGATTTGCATATATAGATAGTGATTGCATTATTCAGACTCTATTTCAGCTTATAAGTAAAATCTTTTTTACCACATTTGCAGTGTATTTCATTGACAGCCAGCTGGAGAGTGTCCTGATCTTCTAGGAGCTCTCGCAGCTCTTTCAGCTTGCTGTTTAGCAGTTCCTCGTGATCGCCCACACACCAAAGGAGGCTCACGTGAAACGAGGGCGGGGCATAGAACTTGGGCAGGCGATAGTCGTGCATTACCTTGTCAATGGGCTGCAGGATTGAGAGCACTTTCGCGTTGAAGGCTCCGTCCAGCTGCACGGCCAGGAAGGTGCGCGTACGCTCCTCATTCGTGTAGATCTTGAGTCCCTGAAGAGTGCTAGCAAAGCTGGGCAAGAATATCCATATTAGCGTGATGTGAAGTGCTTTGAACGGTCCCCAGAACTTACCCCGTTGTGCTGTTTAGCGCGAACTGCAGGGATCGTGAAAACTCATCAATCTGATGATATTGCAGCACCACAGTTCGGCTGAGACTCAGATGCAGTGGCTCGTTGGCTTGCATTTGCACTGCGGGTGCCAGGCAGGCAATGGCTTCCTCCTGGAACTCCTCCAGCTGCTCGGCGCAGGCAAATGCCGGCACATACACATAGCTGGCCCAGTTGCCACGCTCGTGCTTGAAACTTCGGATACGGCCGCCATGCAGAGCGGGATCATCTACCACTTCATCGTCATCCTCCTCCACAGGCTTGGGCTTCTTGGGGCCCAACAGGGTGTCAGCTGTGGGCAGAGCAGCAGGTCTTTGGCGGTTCAAACGTAGAAATTTACAGAAACTTCATAAAACTACCATTACCTTTTTAGCGTGTTTATGATGAGATTTGGTGTGTCTTCGTCCGAACTGGAACTACTGCTGCCTTCATAGTTTACGAGGGCCATAATTAACTAATTAACTAGTAATTAAACAAAATTAAAACAAATAAATAAATAAATGTCCCGCTCTTTTTCGCTAAAAAGTCTGTTAGTGTAACCGTAGAGCATGCAGATTGAGCACTTTGTACGGCGGTATATAATACTTTTCGGTATATTTGTGACAGTTTTGGTATATTACGGTAAATTTCTGAGAGTCGTTTCAGACAGTCACACTGGAACTCAGATAGGAGCCAAAAAGTTTTTTGGCATATATTTTTTTGATTTCAAAATATTTGTGGCTGCCATGCAAGTGTATAGTTAGAAATTTATAGAAAGTGCAAACAAGTGACCAGAACACCGATGGATATACAGCTAGGCGCCATGCTGCACGTGTACAAGGGGGAGTGGGGTCTGCCGACCATTGATTTTGAATGTTTACGTGCCCTGGTAGGTTCAGTTGCATCATATCACACACGCGTATTATCTATCGCTATCAATGAATCAAACTCTTGCCATTTGTGTCGCAGTGTCTTCTGCGATTCACCCGCTGTCCCATGGACGTGGAAACGAATGCTAATCCCCTGCGCTCTGGAGCCGGAAAGTTGCCCTATCTGCAGATTGGCAATGACAAATTCGTGGGCTACAGTCAAATAAAGCGCGTGCTGGATCTTGAGGTAAGTGCACACCGAACGGCAACAGCAACAAAAACAAATGGCCATAAAACAATGCCGGGTGAACAAACTGTGGGATCTATTTATAAGCATTGGCGTATGGCGAATGGCGTATCGGATGAATCAAGCCGATGGATTTTTGCATTATTCACTTGTGCTCCTTCCTATCTGCCTTTCAGGGTTACCCGATTGATGCGCACTTAAACACCAAACAAAAGCATTTGTCCGCCACATATGCCAACTGGGTGTTCACCAATCTGCATGCCTACTACCACTACTTCCTCTATGGAGAGCCGTACAACTTTGACAAAACCACCCGTGGGCTGTATGCCAAGCGCACGCCATTCCCATTCAACTTTTACTATCCCTCGACGTATCAGCGCGAGGCGTGCGATGTGGTCCAGGTTATGGCCAGCTTCGATGTGAACGATAAGCTGGATAAGCACGAGTCAGAATATGTATGTATAGTTTTTGTGGCTTAAACTTGTTGCATTACGTGTAGCCTAATTGTTGGTTCTTTCAGCTTGTTTTGAATGCCAAAAAGTGCGTGAATTTGCTCTCCCGCAAGCTGGGCCGCAAGGTGTGGTTCTTCGGTGACACCTACAGCGAATTCGATGCGATTGTGTACAGCTATTTGGCCATAATCTTTAAGATCACACTGCCCAACAATCCGCTGCAGAATCACATTAAAGGCTGCCAGAATTTAGTTAATTTCATAAATCGCATCACCAAGGACATCTTCCGCAACGAGGGCTTCAGCTCCATCAAACCCACAAAGGCCGCGAATGGCACAGATGTGAATGTGGCGCATTCGGAGCATAAATTCCTCGAGTCTGACTGCAGTACAAAGATCGTGGCTGGCGTCGGTGCACTGTTGGCCATGGGTGCGTTTGCAGCATGGCGCGGTATATACAACCAGGTGGGGGTCATTGTCTTTTATTGTGTTATATATTCTAAATATTTAATCCTTTGCTGAAAACATTTATTAGTTTTGGTCCAGGGTTTTTATTTGGCTTCAGAAATTCTACTAAATTCACTCAAAATTCTCAGTTCCAATTCAAAATTTGATTTGCTTTTTCACCCCATTTGCAGCTAACAACGCGCTCCTCAACGGACTACGATGGCATAGACTACGACGATGATGATGCGGAGGAGGGCCTAGAATAATAGTGCTGCTCTCTATATAGTGATATATTTGCATATATCCGTAGAGTATATATATTTATAAAGTGTATAAAGGGGAGAAAGCACAAACAAAAATGTCCAACATCCAGTGAAAATATATATATAAGTAAACTACTATATATATATATGTGTACCTATAACTATACCTATGTATATGTGAATGTTTGAATTCGTTTTTAAACTGTCTGTGTAAAATAGCATTTTGAAGTCATCACGTTAGAGCGGAATAGAAAGGATAGCTAGCTAGGTGCAACGCTGCTGATGCTTTAATTGGATTGCAAAAATAAACATCTGAATGTCTAAATCGATACTGAACGGTATTATATTATGTAGTTAAGATCTTGTTCCCAACTGCTCTACGACGCGGAAAATTGATGCTCGACTCGAGACGCAAAAGTGAATGCTGCAAAAGAAAATTCTAGAGATTAGCTAATGGAGAGTCCCCACTACCGCCGCCCTACCGACTCCAGCCAGATTTATTATCTATTTCGGTTCTGATCCAGCAGCGAATCAAAGCAAAGAAATCCATTTCAAATTCGCGTCACAACGCTTTCGGTGTGGTTCTTGGTTGAGTTTTATTACAAGCTAAAGCTTAAACGTTAATTTCGAAAAGGTCGTCAATATGATAAATAGAGATGCTAGTAAATTCTACAATGGAATTGGTAGATGATGGATGTGGAGGCCCAAGCCGAAGCCGAAGCCAAAGCCACTCATGTCTTGAGTGCATCCTGTAGCTTCCGACGCGCCACACCGACGCGATCCTCCTGCTTTCGTATATCCTCCTCGGAAATGATGACTGCATGCATGAGCGGCTGTTCTGGGTTCATGAATGCCATCGCATTCTTGGTCAGTTCGGCTTTGGTCGAGCTCTGGCCATGCACGCCAGCATTGAGCATGTGCAGGGCTGTGGCCACCGACTGGAGGACTGTCTGTTCGTTGACATTTGGGCCGACAGTGCGTATGGTCTTGGGCAGTGATATATCGTCCAGCTCGTCGCCATTGTCGTGACAGGCACGCAGTCGCTCCAGCCTCTTCTCCCAGAACAACTGTTTGGGCTTCTCCTGGGCCCCATGCTTGGCATCGTGCTTCACCTTGCTGGGATCCTGGCTGTGGTTCCGAATCGCCGTCACCGGTTGCTTGAATATGGAGGCAGTCTGTCGTATGGGCGGCACCAGCGAGACATCAGTGCGTAGGGCTCGACTGTAAACGATTCCAAGAGAATATCATTAAGAAAATGCCCTCAGAAGCAACAACATTAAATACACATACAGCACACAAAAATAAACGTAAAGTATATAAGAGAAAGAACCATGCAGATTACTATTAAGAGAGAACTAACTATGGCACAGGTGGCACAGAGTTACAGCGATCAAATGCCAATTTCTAATTTTGGTTTTGCTTTTTCATTGTTTTCTTTCGAATTCAAATTCAAATTGTTTTTGCTGTAGACTTTGCGGCCTGGACAAAGGCTAAGGGCTACGGTAACAAGACGAGACACTCTTGCGCATGCACGAGCTTGGAGCCAAGTACTCTCCTCCGTCCACATCCACTTGGCTCTACCTGAGTTCCATCTGCTGTTGCTGGCGCAGATTAGTGGACGTTCCGCCAGCCGCTGTGGAGGATGATGCGCCTACTGTTGTTGGTGCTGCCGCTGCTGGTGTCGCTGTCGTTGATGCTGCTGTGCCGCCGCCACCGCTGCTGTTTGCCTGGGCCCTGGCATATTTCCGTTTCAGTGAAGCTCCAGCTCCAGCGCCTCCGGCGCCAATTGGCAGGGGCATGGCACTGCAGCGGTACAGCGATATCGATGGTGAGGGCAGCTGGCGCTGCTGCAGCTTCCCGGACTGGAAATCAAAGCTTCCAATGTCAAATACCTCGCCCCCCTGCTGCTTTCCTTCAAGTTTTTTTCCTGTTTGACTGTTTTGAGGACGGACACAGTTGTGGGTGGTGAGTGGTGTGGTGTGGTGGGGGTGTGGCAGATCATGTGTGTGTGTGTGTGTTGGTTTGTGTGTATGCATAGGCGTGTGTGTGTTTTTGGTGTGGGGGTGTATGCGGATGTAATAACAGAAAAGTAGTGAGAGTGATTAAACGTATATTCCGAGATTTACAACGTGCAGGGAGGGAGCTATGTGTCCGCCTGTCTGGAGATGGGGATTTTGCCGCAGCTTCTTTTACCTGTAATAGAAAACATCCACTTTATTGTTGTTGTTGCTGCCGCTGGTCGTGGTGGTGGTGCTACTGCTGCTGCCTCCCCGACTTTCGTCCCTCGTCCCGCTGCCAGCCCTTGGGCAGGACACTGCAGTCGACGCGTTTGCGTTCAATCGTTACACTCGGATTCATCTGCATGCTCCTGCAGCTAAATAACTAACAAATTCTTTGAATGCAGCGTCTGGGAAAACTATTTCAGTATTTTTACAGTACTGCATAACGTTGCAGTCCCCCCCTTCGAAGCGGTGACCAGTGCTGCCAACTTTTCATTACGAAAAAAAGCCGTTTCTGGCTTGGTCAAGAGACAAAAAAAGCTGAAAACGGTTTATGTTTATGTTATGTTATGTTTTTACAGTATTAACTCCATTAGAGCTCATCATACCTTATGCACAGAATGCTCTTGGTCGTATCGGTTTAAGTGAATTCCTAAATTAAAACTTAGCCGGATTAACATGGCTAAAAACCTGCCAACATTAAAGCGGAAAAAAGAGCAGCCGAATTTGGCAGCACTGGCGGTGACTCAACACTGGCCTGCAATCGATAACTTGCAGCTGAAGAAGAAAGAAGAAGACGTAGGCGACGTAAGAAATTTCTGAATTTTCATTTAAGTTGCTGCAATTTGGAAATGTAAGGAAGGTTCACACACCACACACACGCCACCGACAATCTGCCAAGAATCTGCAACAGTTGCCGCCAGCACGCGAACGCCACGGAAACAGGCAACGTATTCGAAACTTCATATCTGGGACAAGTGGCAGCTGCTGGGCTAGGCTAGCGAGAGATGTCTTCTTCGGCCATATTCGTGCTGGACGTAAAGGGCAAGGTGTTGATATCTCGAAATTATCGCGGTGACAACATCGACATGGCAGTCATAGATAAATTTATGCCGCTGCTGATGGAACGCGAGGAGGAGGGGCTCATCACGCCCATTCTACAGACGGCGGAGACGACGTTCGCATACATCAAGACGAACAACCTGTACATTGTGTCCACGACGCCGCGCAATAAGAACGTCAACATAGCCCTAGTGTTTGTATTTCTTCACAAAATTGCCCAGGTATTTGTGGAGTACTTCAAGGAGCTGGAAGAGGAGTCCATACGCGACAACTTTGTGATCATCTACGAGCTGCTCGATGAGCTGATCGACTTTGGCTATCCACAGACCACCGACTCAAAGATACTGCAGGAGTACATAACGCAGGAGGGCCACAAACTGGAACTGCAGCCCCGCATACCAGTGGCCGTCACAAATGCCGTCTCCTGGCGATCCGAGGGCATCAAGTATCGCAAAAATGAAGTATTTCTCGATGTGATCGAGTCCGTCAACCTGCTGGCCAATGCCAATGGCAATGTGCTGCGCAGCGAGATTGTGGGCGCCATCAAAATGCGCGTCTATCTGTCGGGTATGCCAGAGCTGCGGCTGGGCCTCAACGACAAGGTTCTGTTCGAGAGCACGGGCCGTGGCAAGTCCAAGTCCGTGGAGCTGGAGGATGTCAAGTTCCATCAGTGTGTACGTCTGTCGCGTTTCGAAAACGATCGCACAATCTCGTTCATTCCCCCGAGATGGAGAATTCGAGCTAATGTCCTATCGCCTTAACACGCATGTAAGTTGAGTAAAAGCCGGGGCAATCGATTCCAAACTAAGCCCAATCCCCTCTCCAAGCAGGTCAAGCCTCTGATATGGATTGAGTCGGTTATTGAGCGACACGCCCACTCACGGGTGGAGTACATGATCAAGGCGAAATCTCAGTTCAAGCGCCGATCAACGGCGAATAATGTGGAAATCGTTATACCCGTGCCGGCCGATGCGGATTCCCCCAAATTCAAGACGACCATTGGCAGCTGCAAGTATGCGCCCGAACAGAATGCCATTATATGGACGGTGAAATCGTTTCCGGGCGGCAAGGAGTATCTGATGCGCGCCCACTTTGGCCTGCCCAGTGTGGAGAGCGAGGAGAATACAGAGGGCAAGCCGCCGATACAGGTGCGCTTCGAAATACCATACTTTACCACATCGGGCATACAGGTGCGCTATCTGAAGATCATCGAGAAGAGCGGCTACCAGGCTCTGCCCTGGGTGCGGTATATAACGCAGAACGGGGACTACCAGCTGCGCACCAATTGAGCGGGGCAAGGCAACATCCACCCACATCATTCCAGCCAAGCAGCTTCACGCGATAGAGATGTCCTTTTGTTTTCGTAGTCTTTAGATAGCTTCTTCACCTTCACCTTCACAGCCAGCCAGCCGCCGAGTTATGCGTTGCTTTAAGTCAAAAATCATATATATATATATATTTTTGTGTATTTGTATTTTGTATTGTTTTCAGTATATGTATATTGTATGTAAAATCAGAGCTAATAAATTTTAACACCTTTTCGTAACACCTGCACAGGGGATGGAGTCATAGTACTAGAGTAACAATTTAATTGAATTGTGGGCTCAACCCACACACAGAAAAACAGAATTTGTCTAAACGTTTGCTTAATCATAATAAATGCACTTTCGTTGGAGTCTCTCGATTTTGATTGTTCGCACTAGACCTCTGCAGATCTACTGCTTAAAGTCCTTCAATGGATAGCTATCCCTGTGCGCTTCTATATGCTGCTGCAGCTCGCGCTGCTGCTCCACCAAATGCTCGGGCATCTCGGCGTACACACCCTCGAACATCTCCTTCCAGTTGGGCTTCAGCTTCTTCTCGGACACGGCAATCTGCTTGAGCACCTTCTGGCGCACTTCCTTGATGTACGCGGTTTCCTCGGCCTCATCGAACCAGCCCTTGTGCACCATGTACCGCTTTAGCTTCGAAATCGGATGCTCCAGGGAGTTCCAAACCTCGATTTCCTCCGACGATCGATAGGCTGTACTGTCGTCCGAGGTGGAGTGATGTCCCACACGATAGGCCAAGGCTTCAAACACCACCGGCTTGTTCTCACGCAGCACATACTCGCGCGCCTCCTTCATGGCATTGTAAACGGCAAAGACATCGGTGCCATCCACACGAATGGTGGCGATGCCATAGCCCATGGGACCGCGTCCAGCAATGCCATCGCCTCGGTATTGCTCATGGGAGGGCGTCGATATGGCAAAGCCATTGTTGCGACTGCATTGGGACGAGCGAAGGGTTACTGGGTGATCTGTGTGTAATCATTCTACTTACCAAAAGAGAATCACCGGACAATTCAGCGTGGCAGCGAAATTGAAAGCCGCATGAGCATCTCCCTCCGAAGCAGCTCCCTCGCCAAAGTAGCAAACCACACAGGCATCGTTGTTCGGTCGCATCTTCATCGCATAGGCGGCGCCCACGGCCTGTGGCATTTGAGTGGCTGTAAACCGATAAATATGGGTTCAAGATTGCATGGGATCAATGAGAATTAATGGCTTACACAGCGGACTGGAGATGGTGACAAAGTTCAGCTCCCTGGAGCCATAATGCACGGGCATTTGCTTGCCGCGACCCAAGTCATCTACGTTGCCATAGCACTGATCGATGAACTGATCGATGCGAAAGCCACGCCAGACCAGCACGCCCGCCTCACGATATTGGCCATAGATGAGATCCCTCATCTCCAAGGCGGCGGCACTGCCAATGTGAGAAGCCTCCTCGCCAAAATTGGTCATGTAGAAGGATATGCGTCCCTGGCGCTGCGATTCATACAGGATTTTGTCCATGGTATTCAGCAGCAGCATGTCGCGGAACATCTTCTCCACCACATCACGGCCCAGCTGGGGATCTTGCGTTTCATCGGCAATGAAACCGTCCCGATCCATGACGCGGTATATGGGTATGGGCGCATAGTCCTCCGGCATATTCAACTTCAATTTACTCACAAACGGGGCCTTGGCTCCAGGAAAATTGGCGTAATCATTTGGCGGCTCTGAGCTGTAGGTTCGTTGCTGCCGCATTAGGGATCCAACAACCTGAAGATCGACGCATTGAAAACAAATAAAGATCGTTGATCAAATCGAAATACTCACCGCTTTGAGATTTTGCTGTCTCCTCCCCGCTGCATTCAACAGTTTGACTGATTTGCGCAGGAATGACATGGTACAATAAGTATCTAAAGTTATTAAATGCAACAGGTTACAATAAATAGTTCGAGTTCAGCTGCGCGTGCAGGTCCAGTCCAGCTGATTACGCAATAGGAGACAATAACAATAACAACGCGTGTCAGGGCTGCCAATATTTGTGTGTGAAATAAAGCTAGATTAATTTAACAACCATAAAACAAGCTGGAAAACTAATGTTAATTATTATTATTTTTATTTTTTTAATACGGCTGCAGTTTAGTCGTTTATCCTTAGATTTTAATACACACAACGCCTACAATAAAAAGCCAAGAATATTGCAATTTTTTCCCGCCATCAAAAAAGCTAGCTTGTTTGCACTAACTTGACATGTCAGCGGTCGAGGAGCAGCAATTCTGGGTGGCGATTGGAATTTTAATCAAAAACTATCATGCCCTTAATAAAAAGATATTCGGAGTGGTCATCACCCAAGTTCAAAAGCAGCAAGATGAGCAGCTATGTGATTCCACACAAGATGAGCTGGAGATGACCCTGAGGGAGCAGCCGGAGAGACGCACGTGCAAAGGTTTCAGGATTGGCTTCAAATTGCTGCCCAAGAAACTAAAAGAAAACATACTGGCCACCGGATTTGTAGGTGAGACGATCGACACATTCAATTATCTATTATTTTTATTTTTAAATGTATTGACAGACTTTCAGGAACGCCACTACAAGTGCCTGTTTGCCAGCGATGATTTTGAAAACTTTTCGGTGCGGCTCAATGGCGGCCAGTTAGAAGTGGAGTCTAAGCAGACAGAATGGCAGGAATTTTCACTTAAATCCAAGCTGCTAAGCTGGTCGCAAAGTAAACAAGACGATACCAAGGTTAAGTCGCTCGGCCTGGTCAATGTGGAGAAGTACAATGATTTGTATAAAGAGCTGAAACAGAAGCATGCCCAGCGCCTGCTGCAGTACTGGCAGACGGCACAAGAGTCCACAGATCCGCTAAAGTTCATATACGAGGATCTGGCCATAGCAGCGTACCTGATTGTCCTGTGGGCTCAGACGCAAACAGAGCCCAAGGCTTTTGCCGATCTGGGCTGTGGCAATGGCCTGCTTGTGCACATTCTCAATGCCGAGGGCTACAAAGGCTATGGCTATGATATACGGAAACGCAAGCTGTGGTCCCTCTATCCGGAGGAAACTAGCTCGAACCTGATTGAACAGGCAGTGGAGCCGAATAGCTTTGGCTTGGATTTTCCAGACATTGACTGGCTGATTGGTAACCATTCCGATGAGCTCTCCCCCTGGCTGCCTGTGCTGGCGGGGCGCCTGGGCACGCATTTCTTTCTCTTACCCTGCTGTCCGTACGAGTTGAGCGGGGCCAAGTTCCAGCGACGAAACACTAGCATAAGTGCCTATCAGGACTTTTTCCATTATGTTTTAACGGTGTCCGAGCAGTGTGGCTTCGAGACGCTTCAGGATCGCCTGAAAATACCAAGCACCAAGCGCTTGGCATTGCTGGGCCTCAAACGGACCACAAGGGATACGCAAAATCTGGAGCATTTTGTTCAGGAAGAGCTGCAAAAGTACAAAATAGGCGATCCGAACGACGAGACGATCACCATAAAGCTGCGCGAGAAGGAGGAAAGGGTACGGAATTGCACTCAAGTGGATAGATGCATTATCGATGGCCTGGTGCTAAAGATCTTTCGCTTGCTGCTTGCCAGCCACGAGGACAGTTGGTCCGGCCGTCTGTCCATGCGACAGATTGCTCAGACTCTGACCAAAGAGGAGCTGAGCGGCATCAAGGCAGAGTGTGGTGGCATTAAGACGTTGCTGAGGAACAAACACGAGGTATTTCAGTTCTGTGGCGGTGATCTGTTCGGCATACGCAAACCCCAGACGACTGCAGTGCCACATCCCCGCCTGACCACCAAGAAGCGAGACTGCTTCTTCAAGCTCCATCATCCGTTGGGCTGTCCCCTGGACGATGCAGAGTGCACCTTCATACACTAGCTAAGGGCCGGAGAGGATGGCTATTGTATAATTTATTTATTTTGTGCCGCCTCTATGCTCAGCGCACTTAAATTGTTCCGATTATAATGTGAAATAAATTGAAGCTTGTGTTTTATATGTATGTATAAAGTAGAAATCGCGTGTCCAATGTACATCTAGGGATCCCTCTTTAGCGGGAGCTGTCCGAGCTGTTGCTGCGACGTCGACGACGAATGGGGGACCGGGAGCGACGGCGTGGTGAACGATTCCTGTTGCGGTTTGGAGGCGATGGCCGACGTCCGCCGCCACCACGATTATTGAATCGATTGAATTGCGGCGGGGAACGCCAGCGGTTGCCCTGCGGCCGTCGCATCGGTGGCGAGGGTCGACGCATGGGTGGGCGCTGCTTGGGTATGATAACGGGCGACACGGTTATCTCCTGGCCATCCACCTGGCCGCCATCCATGTGCTTCATGGCACTCTCACAGTCCTCGGCGGTGCCATACTCCACGTAGGCCATGCCACGTCCGAAAGTGGGATGGTAGCGATCGGTCGGAAACTCGACGGTCTTCACATCCCCAAAGCTGCTGAAGATCTCAAATACATGATCCTTGGTCACGTTGCGGGTCAGTCGACCGACATGGATGCGCACCGGCTTCGGTGTGGGCGAGCGTGTACGGGTGCGGGAACGTGTGCGCTCGCGTCTCTTCGGCGGCGGAGTCCTGTCTACCGAGGCACGTCCACGACGCCGTGGCGACCGCGAGCGACTGGCCGAGCGGGATCTCTCTCGCTTCACATTGTTGCTGTCGCCGCCACCCACTGCTCCTCCTCTGTCATTGGAGCTAGCACGACGGGCACGATCCCTGGACCGGCTGCGTCGCTCTCGCTCCCGTTCGGGCTCCTTGCGTGCCTTGGTGCTGCTGGGCTGTGGAGATTTCGATGTGCGACGCGGTGACCGTGATCGCGTACGCGACTTCTCTTTGTCTTTATCCTTGCCACCCGCGGCGCCACCACCACCAGCTGCACCGCGACGACGGTTCTTCTCGCTGCGATCCGAGTCACTGGACGACGACGAGGAGGAGCTCGACGAATCACTGGAACTGCTCGAGCTGGAGCGGGACCCACTGCCAGAGCTGCTGCGCGACGAACTGCTGTCAGATGAACTGGAATTATCATTTACATACATTTTTGGTGACATGTTTTTTTTTCCAGTTATGCCGGCTGTCAATTTGTGCAAATATTGTGTCTGTGTGTGTGTGTTTGGGGATTACCTTCTGCTGGAGTCGCTGCTAGAGGAGGCGGAACCACGGCGTTTGCGTTCGCGCTCCCTGCGCGAAGAGTTGCTGGTGGCTGCCTTGCCCTCCTTCTCTTTGGTGTCCTTCTCTTTGACATCCTTTTCCTTTTCACCCTCGCCGGCGGGACTCTGGGCACGCGCCCTAATTTTTGGACAAGAATCCGACATGTTTCAATAAGACACCACGCAACTGGCCACTGCTACTCACATGTTTGTTTTAGATTTCAGTTTCAGAGCACTTAAACGCGGCAGCAATCTCTGTACGAATCGCTACCAGTTTTAATTAATAAAATATTTTTTTTACGGTGCGCGTCCGTCAAAATGGTTGTTTTCGATAAAATATACCTGCAAAATATACCGAAATATAGCATTGCATTTTCCAAATATACCGTAAAGGTTGTTTTCGATCAAATATACCAGCAAAATATACCGTAAATATACTGACGGACACGACAATATGCGTTGATATTCCTCGATTTCGTTCTTCGGTTTAAAATTACTAGCTAGTTGGCCCTCTCAGCCCTAAACAAATAATTTTATCCAATTCCTCAATAAATTTTGTCCAGGATTGGCTAGTTTTTAGAACTCATTTTATTGTATTGTTTACATAATATGGTTCAAACAAAAACGGCCAAAGCATAAAACATAAGTGTGAACTCCGGTCACATTCCGTCATTGTTGCTGGTAAACAATGTCCGTATGGACATTTGTATACCCTATTTCCTTTAATTAATGTGAAATTTGTTGTTACAAGCTGCTTTGAAACATTTATGTTAAATTTGTCTTAGATTGCCAGGTATTTTCCTTATTAATGCATATGTTTTGTGTTTTATAAATACATTTATCCCGGTTCTGATATTGGTACCCGTGAGCTGCAAAATTTCGTTAATGTCTTTAAAAGAGAGACTGATAAGTTTCTGCATTAATTGGAGCCTGAGATTACAAAAAAATTATTACTGTTCTATAATATCTATTTTCGCAAGGTATGCAGATTGTTGCTCATTCCGTGCCAAAGTTGCACAACAATGCTGTTAGTTCATTTCCCCATGTATGGAACGTCGCAACATTTAATCCGTTAGGAACATGCGGCTCACACCACGAAAAAGAGGGGAAAGTCTCCACGAAAGCGCTATTTTCACCTCGAAAAAGAGAGCAATTTTTGAAAAACCAACACGATTTGAGAGCGAAAATCTTGGTATTTTTTGTGCGCTAAACGGAGTTTGCCGCTCATTTGAAAATGGTATTTTGATGACAAAGTCGATGTTTACATGGTAACTACACGCTAACTACACATTTGCTACATATCAACGAAGTAAGGCACTTTGTATACCCAATTGGAAAATTGCCTGTACTCCAATTGGAATACAGCAGCTTGAGCTGCTTTGAAACCTCAGTAAGAATAAATTTACTCGTATTGGCATGTTTCACTTTCTAAGAATAATATTTGTGTTTGGGGGTGTATTCAACTTAATCTCTAGTCGTTTTATTACGGATTTTGAAACCAACCGAAAGAGGGTTTCGGTGTCCGCGTCACTAAGATTTGGAACTCGGACTGCTTAAAAGATACAGTTACGTATCCCAAGCAACCATTACGGATTACCAAAATCCCCATTGAGCATAAGGTCGTCATAACCCAATTGAACTTCCATTGAACAGCCGTCAAACGGCACCGGCTGCTGCTGCTGCTGCTCTGCGTGGGCTGGCCATTTTTGGAGCATTTTTCAATGAATTAATTGAATTTGGACATTGTGTATCCATATGTTGGTTACATTTAAGGACTTGCTGCACATTGCAGTCATTCTTAATGCGAATATTATTTGAGGCCCAACGATCTGTTGCAGTTGCGGCACAGCGTTTTCCCACCGGTTGCCTCGATCTCTGTGTGTGTCAGTGCACTTCCTTGGTATGTTTTCTATTCATTCCAACACTTAAACTGACATTAGCCGCCAGCCATGTGGTAGAACGCTTCTTCTAATGCACAAATAATTGCAGAAGATGCTTCTGCTGCTGTTGCAGTGTCAGGTAGCCCCCGACAGTTCTGTGCAGCTCTTTCAGCTGATTGCTCAATCTCAATGAAATATGATTAAATAAATAATTGTTGCTTTAATTCAGTTTTGCTTCTCACAAAATAGTTGGGGGTCTGTCTGTCCGTCTTCCGCTGGTAATGGAGCCGCCATTGTGTTAACGGGATTCCATAATGATCCAATAATTGTAATACCCTTATATTTAGCTGACAATTGGATATGCAATTAATATATAATTATTATATAATTAATAAGAATATTTAAAATAGTAAATAACAAGAAATAAATTTAATTAAATCTGCTGATTAAAATACTTAAAAATACTCCTACAAAATATATTAGTGGTAGAAAAACTGATACCAAAATCGATTTCTGATGATATTTGATACCCAAAACATAATCCAAAATTTAAGCCCTCCCTCCACACCCTGAAAACAGTAGTAGAAGTAGAAACATAAACTTTCGGTTTCAGTTTCGTGTGAAATTGAATTTCCCAAAAGAAAGCCCATTGGATGCATCTGCTCCACGGTCAAATAGAAGAACTTTCCCAGTGGAAGTAAAAGTTGCAGGCCAGATTGATCGGCTTAAAGTTGTTGCTCCGGCTAAATAGCAAAGCACAGTAAAGATTGTCCACTGCTAAATGATCATTAAAGTGCGTAAATCGAAACCAGACTGCATCTCGGCAGTGGTCTCCGAGTTGTATTGACTTTTTCGGCATTGGTCAACATTAGACATTTTGTCCTAATTACACAGACGACAAACTGAGAGCTAAGAGCTGCTGGCTGCAGCATCAGCTTTAGCTTGGACTCCGACTTGGAGCTGATTGGCGAGCGACGCATGCTCAAGCGCGGCCAGCACTTCACTTTCCATTTAATCTCGTTTGGTTTGGTTTGGTTTCGTTTTGGTGGTGCAACTGCACCACGCCACACACAATTTGTCGCAGCATCGCGCGATGCCCGCATGAAAATCGAAAGCCGATTTTCATGTCAATATTTTTGTTTAATAAACTGCCGATGGACCGGACTCTGCCAGGCTAGCAGGCAGGTAGGCCTCGTCTCGTCTCGTCGTCTGAGCATGCGGAAAATATGCAAATTACCATCGACATCGACGTGCATCATAAGGTGCCCCCAAGGCACGGCAGCGGCAGTGACGGCAAACGCAATGCAACCTCCCAGCCCCCAACGTTGCGTTGACCGATTGAACGAAAGTGCAGCCACCAGCCACCATCGCGAAAGATGAAAGTTGTCCACACAATGTAGAATGACGAGGCTGAAAGTGCAAGTGGGTCCAGTCCAGCGATCGAAGCCACCAACCAACCAACCAACCAACCAACGAACGAACGTGCGATTGATGTAAGACGGTTATGGAGACTTCAGACTGATGACTGGGATGGGCTCAGATGGGATCGAGATCATATGCAGGTGTCAACAGAAGTTGGTCGAGAGTGGTTTCACTTTTCTAAATAGTCCCCCCGCTTGATGTGACTAAGCGGTGAAGAAAAGTGTGAAATGGCATGTGAATGGGGAGTTGTATCGATCGCTAATGAAAGAAATTTGATTGGAAAATCATGATCATGATCTACCACTGAAATGGAACTGATCTGGATGGATTGGTCGTGCTGCTTGCAGAAATGATCAAATGAATGAACTGCGAGTTTGGCGGGTAAAAAGTGGCATATTACTACTTATATATTTTATTAATTTGCTAAATTAAATTGAATGCACATAAATCCTTCAAAGATTGTTAAAAAAAAGCAAACCTGATTACTTTCCCGCTCCCGACAGCAACGTTAGCCAAAAGCCTTTCCCCTAACTGGCGGCGGCGGGGCATTTGTCAACGGCTTTGTTTTTTTTTTTTTTTTTTTCGTCCCGTTTGGCCGGAACTTGTGGATCATTTGCCAAAGCCGAAGCGAAAAAAAAATCCGTGAAACGATTTGCCTTTTGCATTGGCCATGGCAATTAATCAAACAACTGCCATCCGCCGAAAAACGTTGGAAAAATGGTGGAAAAACGTTGCAAATCCGTTGAAAGCCGAAAATTGACGGCAACCAAAAGCAGCAGCAGCAAGAGACAAATACACAGCAACAACAACAAAAACAACAACACCGACAAAGTCAAAGCCAAAAGAAAATTGTGGCATGCGATAGGTAAAAATGTGGCAAAACTTATATCAATCTGCTGTCGTTGTTCGGACCAGTTAAGATATCCTCAACAAGGTCGCAATGGGGCAGAGGAATATGGCCAAGTATGCTAAGCATCTGCAAAGAGAAGAGAGGAACAACAAATGACATTAACAACATGGCAACAATGTTGCCAGCTCCACTGAGAAAAAAATGAGAATATTTTTTTTATTTATTTCATTATTACTCGTACAAGGGGATTTTTCCTCTAGAGCCTTTTATGAAAATTTCCCCTTAATTTGGTAAAGTTTCTAAAATTTTGTGGGACCATAAATCAATAATCATTTGATTTTTGCTGCTTTTCCAGCATAAACTACTGCCATGCTTCCAAAGTTATAATCCCTAATTCTTTCAGTTTCCTTCCTTTAAAGTACATTTTTTTTGTGTGTTTCGCTAAGTGTATCGGCATTGCTAATGGCATTCGCCTGGGCACCCATAGGTGATAAGAAATAATTGAGAAGATTGTCGGGCATTTGAATCGATTGGAATGGGCCCTGGGCCTGGGGTCCAAGCAGATCGAGAAAAAGCGTACGAAGAAGGAGAATAAACAGCGCAGGGCCAGGGCCAGGGCCATAATTAGGCGATTGTCTCAATGTGTGTGTTTGTGCAAATGTTTATGTTATGTCAATTGTCGACTGCGACCAACCCACCCGACCACACAAGCAACGAAAAATACTATGGCAAAGGAGCATTCCCGGTCCGATCCGATCCGATCCCATCCGATCAATGCTTGCAAAACTGTGCAGCGCTGACTGCCAAACCGCAGTCATTAAGGTTGCAAGAAGATCAGCAGCAGCGGCAACGGGGAACGGGGGTGGGGCAGGGGGCTGTGGCAGGGGGCTGGGACGGGTCTTCTTCTGCTTTCTTTTCGCTGAGCTTGCAGTTTTGTCGCTGGTTTTTCTCTCACCCCGTGTCTGTCCTCCCCCTGACGTTGCCTTAATTGTTTTATTGCAGCAAGCGAGGGAGCGAGGGGGATGGAGACAAACTTTCTATTTGAGCATTTTCACAGGGAAAAAATATTTCATTTCTTATTTATTTTTCGAGTTGCGATAAATGTTTGGCTGCTTGCAACCTGAAGATGCAACAGTGGCAGAGGCAGAGGCAACACTAATATTTTTCTTCCGCCTGATTACGAATGG